ACCTCGTCTTATCTTTTCGATCTTTTTTTCTTTTTTTTGCCTTTTTTTTTTACTCTGAGTAAGCTCTTTTCAGTATTATCTATAATCTATTCTGGGTTGGCCTTGTCTTCATTACTCTACAAACCTTCTCAACTGACCTCTCCTTATCAAGATTTCAATCTCATTTTTTAAGTCGACGTAATCTTCAGTATTATGACTTATGTCATTGTGAAAGGCATATTTTTTGGTTGAATCCCTTTTTATATTCTGTCTTAATGGTTTTGGCCATCTGAAGTTGAGATTTCTTTCAATTTGCATCAGAATCCTATCTCGAAAGGTATTTAGTACAGTATAGATTCTTTTTCAACTGGGACTTATAGTCCTATATTGTCTCTCTTGGGGGAGGATCATAGAAATCTTTACTTTTTTTATGATTGAAGAGGGAAGATAAGTCTCTTTCACCTCGATCGTCGAGGAATGGATGAGTTTCCATCACCTCGGTTAGTTTTCATTATAGCTTCAATATTTATGTACTTTTCGATTATTAATAGGATGTCAACTAGAGTTTTTGATGGTTTTAACGACAAAGTTAACTTTAGATGGTACTCTTCATCATTGAATCCATTGGTCAAGGTAACTACAATGGTTGTTTGCTTTAGGTCTTGAACTTGCAGAGCTTTCACGTTAAAATGCATAACGTAGATCTTTAGAGATTCAATCCAACCTTGGTGGATCAACATCAAGTTCTAAGTTGTCTTTTTTGCTCTTCGACTTTTGACAAATCAAGATAAAAAATAGTGGTTTAACTTTTTAAACGTTGTGATTGATCTTAGTTTTAGACTACTATACCAAGATCGAGATGCACCCTTCAATGTAGTAACAGGACTTTACACATCAAAGCTTCATCTATATCCGACATCATCATGTTATTTTTATAAAATTTTAAATGATCGAAAAGATCAAAAGTACCATCATATGTTTCCAAGGTCAATATTTAAATCTTTTAGGATGTATGGCTTTGTCAATTTTTTCAATAAAGGACGAGGTCATTAAGAACTTGAACTCATCCTTAAGTGCCTTAAGTGCTACGACTTTCATTTTTAACTCATTTTCCATAGCCTAGATCCGGGCTTCTAAATCTCTGTTTGATTAAGGTTTGAGATTTATTTGTTTAGATTTTTAGATCGTAGCCTGTATTGAATTGTGGTAGGGGTAATGGTGGGCTGGGGTGTTGTGCTTTTCTTCCCTGAAAGCCAAAGAGGCTTCCCCCTCTTTATAGCTCGATTGTTTAACAACGATTTCTCAACCAAAGGTAGTTAGGTTAGACACTTTTGAAACTTGTGATGGGGTTATGATTTGTAACATTTGCTTAAGAGTCTGTATCTATTTAATCAAGGCTTGAAATTATTCCATGGTCGATCCTATTTGTGTTTAGGTAGGTCAAACAAAATGTTAGCTATGATGGGTTTTTATTCCAACTGGGACAGCCATCTCTTATTCCTCTAAAGTTTTTTTTCTTAGCGACACTGCTTTATGCTCGGCTAATAAGTGGAAAAAGCCCCTTACCTGGTACACCAAATATTTGTGTCAAGCTCCAATCTTAAGATATTTTTAGAAAAACAGAAGAGAAAGGCGGTTAGAGGCAAAGGCAGGGAATGTTTCCTATATTTGCACTCTGATGCATAAATAAAAAAAGATGAGATCAAAAAAAGAATAATAAAAAGAAGATGAAATAGTGTGTGCATTACCTTCATGGTGCCTAGACTTTCATATTTATAGATAAGTGATAAGGGACCATCAGGAGATAATAAGGCCAATGTCGAGTTGATGTGACACTGAGCATGTTAGATCAATTTGACATATCAAGTCGACATAAATGATAAAAATATCATTGATTGTCTGCTGAAGTCTTCTAAGAGAAAAAAAGACCACTATGACCTTTTAACTACCAAATACCCCTAACAGGAAGCCCAAAGTGATAAAAAAAAAAAAGTTTGGTTCAGCTTGGCAACTAAAGGAGAAAGGGAGAAAGAAAAAAAAAAGAGGAAGAAAGAAAAGAAAAAAAGAGAAAAAAAAATGAAAGGTTGGTTTTTCCAAACCTGGTTTTGAAAAAAAAAAAAAAGCAAACTTGATCCGACCCATCCAACTCAGCCCAGTCCATTTGTAATCTAGCTCACAAGCCTACCAGATTTGGATTTTCAACAGCACTAGGTTATTTTGGGTACAAGCCCAAAGCTAAGCTGAGTATATTTTCTTACCCTTCTTTTTGGTATGTTGTTACACGAGCTTGATTATTTTGACAAGTATTTGTGTTTTAACATTTTGTTGTTTTGGAATTTCTTTTTATTATTGTAGATGATTATAGTTGTCAAAATAAATTTTAGGATAAAAATAATATTATGATAATTTTATGGCTTAAAAGGATTGTTTTTCATGAAGGAAGGTTTTGAAAATAATAATATTAGATAATATTTTCATGTGAAAATATGAGTTGGAAATCCCTATCTAGATATTAGAGGAAATTCAAATAATTATTTTTGTACAAAATTATTATCTTAATATTTTTAGATATATATGTGAATTTCAAAAAAAAAAATATTTTTTTATTTCACCAAGATATTGAGAAATAAGAAATATAAAAGAAATAAATAAAAATAAATATTTTAACCACCAAAATGTTATTCATGAATAGAATCTATTTTAAAAAAATGATCACATGCATTATTTAATTTATGTTGTCATATATGCATTTCATACATTAATAATAAATATGAAATAGCAATGTAATAACTCCAAAAAAAAATTTTAGGAACAATAAAATAATTTTTTTAAATTATTTTGAAAACCTTGCCTAGATATTGGAGGGAATTCAAATCATATTCTAAGTATTAATTTTTTTCAAAATTTTGCCTAAATATTGAAAATATTGAAAAATTAAAGAAAGTTTTCCTTCATAAAAAAAAATAAATAGAATTTCTTTCATTAATGACAAAATGTAGGATTAAATGAACATAAGATAAATTAAGTTGGTTTGCATCATTTATTTATCTCATGTTGCATTATGCCTTGAAATAAAAAATGTGAATTTGTAAATGATAATTTTAGATTTTAGTTTTTTTATATAAATAATGGTTAATAGTCCTATGTAAAAATAATCATTGAAACTCTATTTAGATATTAGAGGATTTTTCAATAATTAATTTTTACGGAAGAACATTATGCCAAATTTTAAGTAATATCATGAAAATTTTAAGTAAAAAAATATTCTTTAAAATTCTACTTAGAAATTGAAGAATTAGAAAATGTTTTGATATTGAATTTTTTTTATCTTATTCCTTAATAAAAGGTTCTAAAAAAAGATTTTTATGAAAAAATAAAATTTAATGGAATCATTTTTAAATATTAAAATTAAGATCATTTTTATCATTAGTAAGGATAACATATAATTAATTGATACTTATTTTTAAATAAATGTTGTAGGGATGCTTATTCTTCTTACGTGTAATCGACTTTCGAATTCAACTCTATTTTTGTAAATCAAAATTATTTTTTAAAAAAATTTTAAACATATTTTGTTATTTTATTAAAAAAATAAACTTTTTAAATAACCAATCACACTTAACAAATAAAATTAATAGTGACTCTTCTTATTTTAAAATTTTTTTAAATTTTTTTATCTAACTATCTCAAAAACTGTTATGACAGTATGATTTTCTTCATTTTCAATATGGAAGTAACAACCAAAAAATTTATGTTTTATGCCGTGCTTGGATATTATGATGAAGACATTGTGAATTGATCAAAATGAACCCCGCCCCCCCGATAGTTTTACACCATTATTCAATAATAAATTATAGATCAATAAGGGTTGATCTAGTATTTTAAATTAATATAAAAATATAAAAGTGATAACATTTAAAATTTCGATAAAAATTTTGTATGAGTTTAATAAAAATAAATATATATTTTGTATTTAATGTATTAACTAAAATTGTAATATAAAATTTTTTTAATTTTTTATGTATTTATATAAAATAAACATAATTAAAATACATGAATTATCATATTTAATAAGGAGACAATTGGAAAAACGTAAGAACTAAAGTCTAATATGTGTTGAGAATAGTGACTCAAATCTCATAAATGATTAATTTGAGATTGGTTAAATATTACTTGATAGATAAAAAAACTTGCAAAAGAAAAATTTTAAGGGGAGTAAAATTCTTAATAGATAAATTTGATTTATAGAAAAAAATTTCTAAGAGAAAAAGAATTTTTAATAGGCAAGTTTGGACTTACAGAAGAAAAATTATAAGAGAAAGTGGATTTTTAATAGACAAGTTTATATACTTATAAATAAATTAAGTTTTTACAGAATTAGATATAAGAAAAAGATGTAAAAAAATTATAGAATTTTACGGGATAATTACCTTATTACGTTTTATGGATAGGTATGTTTGTATATTTATGAGTGGATTAGAGTAAACTGAAATTATTCACATAGGTATGATTCATGTGAGTAGACTAACGATAAGTGAGAAGATTTACATAAATATGATGCATAAGTACATATAAGTATGTATTTATTTGTGTTAAAAGTGTACATATTTGTTTGAATTAAAAATATTTTATAAAATTAAAAGATATTAAAAGGATTTATAAATATTAATTATTGAATAAGATTAATTTAATATACATTTATAATTTATTATAATTAATAAATTTTATTTTCAAAAATTGATTACATTAAATTAATTTAAATTATCATCTTTTACATGTTGATTGATTAAAGACTTTTTGTCTAACTATAACATCGACAAGCAATTTCCAGGTCACTTCCAGATATTTTACCAACACATTCTTCTACCCTTTTGATCCAGGCCTGCGAAAACAAGCAGATAATGATAGGTAAATTCGTGAAGTCATGTAATGTTTTCGATTCCCGCCTCACCTCAAGACTTAACACCCAAGTTTCAAAAAAGGCGAAAAAAAAAGACAAAAGCGACAAGTAGATGCTACTACTATTTCACTGTGTCAGCAAGCATCAACACTAGGATCTTTTCAAGGTGCTTTTTCTTTGGGAACTACAAAAGTAGTACAAAGAATTGGGGTTTCAACTCTGAAGCCTAAAGTCATGAAGAAGCCTAAAGTCATGAATTCTGCAGAGAAGATTGGCAACAACCAAGATATGTTAACAGAAATCCTCCTCAGATTACCAACAAAGTCACTCATCAAATTCAAGTGTGTCTCAAAACAGTGGCTATCTCTCATTTCAAACTCTCAGTTCTGTCTCTCCCACACTCGCCACCACCAACACAATGGGTTTCTCGAGCCTACTGCTCTTCTGCTCAAAGTTAAGAACACAATCTCCCCTGAATTTGATGTGGTTCCTTTGAAGCATTACAGTGAAGTCCCCTTCTTTCATTATGTTAATCCCCCTGACATCAACATGCTGCAATCTTGTAATGGGTTGTTTCTTTGCGAGACCGACGATGATGATGTTGATAATGTCTCCAGGTACTTCATCTGCAACCCAACCACTAAGAAATTCAAGATGCTATCTTTTCTTAGGAACCCACATGAAGATTGTGAGTTTTATGTTAGTTTGGCTTTTGATCCTCTCAAATCTCCTCATTACAAGATTATTGCTATTCGGGAAGTATCAAAAAACTCTTTTGAGTTTGAGATGGATATATATTTGTCAGAGACTGATTCTTGGACTGTACCCGGTATTAGTTTTGAAGTAGATGGCAGCATAGCGTTTGATGACGCCGTTTTCTGTAATGGAATAATTCATTGGAATAGTTATGGAGACGAGTCACTGTATTTTGATGTAGGGAAGGAATGTTTGCAAAAAATGCCAATGCCACCAACAGAAAACGATGTGCTTGAGATTTATAAATATTTTGGAGAGACCAGGGGCACATTGCATCTAGCAGTGACCTACCACGCGTTCATTGCTCTTGAATTAGATGTTTATGAGATGGCAAGTGACTATTCTCATTGGTTCTTGAAGCATCGTCTGAACCTTGGCGATGCCATGAAAGTTTTTCCTGAGCTAAACTTTGGTTGTCTTGGGTTTTCTCCTGGATTCTCTGGTGTGTGTTTTATTCGATCTGAGAAAGAAGAAGAGCCAAAGGTTGTGGTATGGGCAGATGGTAAAATCATTTTCTATGATTTTAATGATGGGGAGTGGAAAAAGCTTTATGATCCAGGGCCTGGGGTCAAATTTGGCACTCGTTTTTTAGACCATTTTACTCATTTACATGAACAAAGATTTCTTGCTTATAAATACTTTGAGAACCTCTCTTGTGTTTGAGGGTTTAACTTCTACAAATACCAATATTCTCGAATATTGTTTTTGGTAAGTATTTGAGAAACTATTTCAATTTTACTCACCTGATGATGTCTAGCTATTTACCTCTTCAGTTTTTAGTAGTACAACAAATCTTATGACATAAGAGTTCCTGTTAATTGATTAATTTGCTCTTCAGTTTTTATTAGTACAGCAAATTTTATGACATAAGAGTTCCTGTTAATTGATTAATTTGCTCGGCACATTCTGCTGTGTCTAAATTCCTGCTGTTTACTATTAGTTTTTTTGTTTTCCTTTCTGGATATATAGACAAATGCTGATATATTTACAAGCTCTGCACTCTTTGACTTGTATGTTTCATGTTTGTATTATCTGCAACTCTGCATGCCCTTTTAGGAACTAGGTTTTGATCTACATATTGTTTGACTACATGATCTTCGTGCATGCTTGTCGTAAACTTGCATTATTTAGCTAGTCAGCTTGTTTAAGAAGTATTGGCCTAAACTTTGATAAGATATTCTCTGTTTCTTGTACTTTTAATCTAGGAAAGAAGAAATGTCAGATATTTTGGTAATTGTCGATGGTAAAGCAATTTCGTATAATTTAAACAATGAGACATGAAAAAAGCTTTCCATCTTTCAGGTATACACGTATTTGCTGATATCTTGCCCTCTTACTGCTTCTAGGTTTTACTTGTTTTAATTGGTAAGTTTTTAAGGCCAAGGTCTATTTCAGTGGGTTCAAAATCTCATTAGAAGAAGGGAATTTTTCACATTATGTTATTGATGGCTAACAAACTAGGAATGGATTATAGTTTTCCAAAACAGAATACCATAGGAGTACATTGATCCGATAATTGGAACTTAAAAGTCGATTTATATGATTCTTTTCTGGGTAAATGTGAGCAATAAATTGGTGCTTGCTTGGATTGAGATGTATACAACATGCATTGATGCCCTTTTTGTGATTTATCAAAAATTAAAATTGTACTTTTCTCAACAACAACAGCATTATTGTTTGCATTAGGAGTTGGATTGCAGCCAACACCAGTTTAATCACCTTGCTTTTGTTCTAATTGATTGCCTTGTTTGTATTCAACAGATTTAAGGCTTTATGGGTGTTGCTTCATATTGGCTCTTCTGATGGCTTGTGTCATCAATATATGTGAGGCAGGTGAAGGTGACACATATCTTATAGCAATGTGGCAATTTCAAGTAGAAAATTACTAGTGGCCTGGGTGTAGTGGTGTGCTGTTACTAAATTTTCTGAAGTACGTATTATATTATTTATATGTTTGCGAAGATGGCAGCAATAATGTCAGTTTATCCAGTTAGATGAACTTTAATCTCTTGCTGATTGCCTTTATTGTAGACTTTTAGATTGAAACAAATCTACCTTGCTGCATCTGAGTATTTGATTCAGAGGTTTGTGCGTGATATTTCTGTTCAAAATGTAAATTTTGAATCCTACCTTCCCCGAAATAAAAAAAAAAAAAAAAAAAAAATTTAAGAATCTACCTGCTTGAAATTGCAAGCAATGCCTTGTAGTTTTTACAACCAAATATTCAAAATGTTGGAGATGGTTTTAAGACCACCCTTCCTACACCTCCAATTTTCAATGGGGGAATAGCATGGGCCCTCATGCATCACATTAGCGAGCCAGGTAGTGTTGGAGCATGTGATAGACTTTCATTAGCGAGACCAGTCCGCTGTAAATTTGGATAGCTTCCAGGTCCAATCAGTGTTAAACAGGCTTTTGATTGCTTGGATGACGAGAGTTAGTGGGCGTTGGGATGGAGTGTTCTGTTTTATTAAGAGCACAGAACTTAAGGAGTCAGATTCTATCTCCACTTTGTCAAATCCCATCTTTGGCGAGTTTAATTCCATGAAAGAAAACTCAAAGCTGTGCCAAATCTATTGGACAGACTCTACCCCTTTTCTTATTCTTCGTGCAAAGCAAATTCATTTTTCCTGGTATGGGTATGACTCACATGCCTCAAGGGCATCAAGTGCAAACACCTCAGTTGGCCATTAATTTCCCATCAACAAGTATTCATAATTTCAACAGGATATAACCCAGGATGAACTATAAAACAGTGAAACCTGTTTTGAGGCACACTAACTTGCTAGGCTTTGTGGTCATGATGGTACATGTATAACCGGAATCAAGCAGTTCTCAATCCAATAGTGTCAGGAATGGTAGAAAATAGATCAATCTTGCTCATCCTATTACACTAATTAAAACTTGATCAGCTTTATCAATACGATTAAAACTTCAAAACAGAAAGTGCTTAAAATGTTGGGATAAGAATTGATAATTTTAAATATGATAAAAAAATATAATAATTTTTTTTTGACACAAAGATTCAAGATACACGAATAGCCGTCGGTAGGGAAAGAAATGATAAGATCGTAAAATCACAACAGGCATGTCGGCCAACTGTACAATGGAGGACAAAATAGCTGAAGTAAGATGAACATCAAATTATTCTTCTATAAGTTTTTTTTTTTTTTAATTTCAAATTGATAAACTAAACTCCATACAATTTTTGTCGCTTGCCGACATAGTTAATTGAAATAATTTATTGTTATCAACATTAAACTTTTATAAAATTGAAGTTTCATCGTTAACCTTTGCAAATTTTAATTCTTTAATTAATTACCTTAATTTTTTTATAAAAAAACTATTAAAATTCATTGGTGCTTAAATATAAAATCACTTGTTATTCATTCAACGGATTAAATTAATTCATTGAACCGGTTATTTGATAAAATTCTAAAGAAGAATAAATTATTTAATTAAAAAATTAAATTTTTTTAAACTTCATTAATTAAATTAAAATATTACAACATGTCTTTTTTATTAATTTATTAAAATTTTAAATATATTTATTAGAGTACGTGATGAATTTCAAAACATAAAATTTTAAACTCGACCATGTATTAATATAATTTTTCATAATTAAACCTCTGCAATAAAATTAGTTTACATCCATATTAATAAGTCAATTTAGCGATTTAGGTTTAAATTTTTTACAAAAAAAAATATAAGTTTGAGTTATAAATAAAATAATAAAGGAAAAATCGACCCGTTCATCTTGATAAGTATTAAGTACTTTCAAATTCAAGGACAAGATGTTTAGATATATCCTAATACGACATATCTTACATCTCGTCGTTATCTGAGATTCCAGAAACCATTTATGCTGAATTTTTTTCTAATAAAAAATTTACCCAAAATAGAAGGAAAGGCCGAAAGGTTACAAATATGAACAGGATTAAAGCAACTAGGGGTTTGGAACAGCAGAAGCCTTTTTTCTTTTTTTATAAATAGTAGAAGCCAGTTTTGTGTGCTGACACTGAGCAATAACAACATGAAGAAGAAGACTTCCATAATCCTCAACTCAGCAGCAGCAGAGACAATTGCCTACAACCAAGACCTTTTGACAATAATCCTCCTCAGATTACCAACAAAATCTCTCATCAAATTCAAGTGTGTTTCAAGGCAATGGCTCTCCATCATTTCCGACCCTGACTTCTGTCTCTCCCACACCCGCCACCATCACAGCAATGGGTCTCTCTCCCCCACCGCTCTTCTCCTCAAAGGTGACTGCTTCACCCCTCCTTCTGAATTCTCCATTGTCCCTTTGAAGCATTACAGTAAAGTCCCTTTCTTTCATTACATCCATGACTCTGATGTCAGGATTGTACAATCTTGCAATGGCTTGCTTCTTTGTGAATCCTACAGACAAAGTTACTTGATTTGCAACCCCACTACTAAATCTTTCAGGAGACTATATTGTCCTAGTAATTCGTATCATAATTTTCTTTCTAAATTTTGTGTTAATTTGGCTTTTGATCCTTTAAGTTCACCTGATTACAAGATTATTTGTGTTTGGGAAAGTTACCGGGAACCTTCTAAGTTTAATCTGGATTTATATTCGTCAAAAATCGGTTCTTGGGATTTATCTATAATCACTTTTGAGGTGGATGAGGATGAGTTCATCGAGTTAAAGGATGGTGTTTTCTGTAATGGAAGGATTCATTGGTGTGGATATGGAAGCGAGTCGCTGTATTTTGATGTGGAGAATGAATGTTTGGAAACAATGCCGATGGCATTACCAACGAGAATGGATGCCGATGAGGAATGCAGATATTTCGGGGAGTCTCGTGGAGTTTTATATCTTGCGGTGACTTACAGCATGGCCGTTTGTTTGGAGTTGGATGTATTTGAGATGGCAAGAGATTATTCTCAATGGAACTGGAAGATACGTCTGAATCTTGGTGACGCTGTGAAAGTTTTTCCCGAGTTAGAGTTGGGTTGTGTTGAGTATTGTCCTGGATTCTCTGGTGTGTGTTTTATTCCATCTGAGAAAGAAGAAGAGCCAAAGGTTGTGTTATGGGCAGATGGTAAAATAATTTGCTTTGATTTCATGGAAGGGGCATGGAAAAAGCTTTATGATCTCGGTCCAGGTATCAAAATTGGCTCGCTATATCTAGGAGAGGATGATCATTTACATTATGAAAGATTTCATACTTATCAATATTTTGAGAATCTCTCTTGTTTATGAGGGTCTTTTCTTCTGCTGACAGCAATCTTCCCCACCCTTATGTTGGTAAGTAACAGAAACTGTTTTGAACTTACAATTTCATTGATTTCATAGTAAAAGCATAAGATAGTTTCGTCTTTACTTCTAAAATTTTTTATTTTTATATATTTGTACTGTTTAAGAGAATCGGTTGCAGCCAACCTCAGTTCTATCACTGTATCTTTTCTTATCGATTGCTTTTTTTTTTTAGTCAACAGGTTGAAGGCTTGCAAAGTTTGCATGATCTTGGCTATTTTAAGTGGGAACAATTGTGTACAAACTGATGTGTTGTTAAACATCAACTTTGGGTGTAACGGTCCGGTGAAGAGTTACTTTTGTGGCATACTTGATCTATATGTTGTATTGCAAAATGTTTATAACTTTGAATGGACATCTGCCCTTATGTTGATAATTGTTTTCTCAAGTATAAGCCTCAATTCAACATATTTTTAAAATTTTTTTAAATTGGCCACAAATATTTTTTAAAGTAAAATTAATAGATATAATGGCAGTGAAATTTTATTTATAAACATAGTTAATAAAATGACACATTTTTTTATTTAATTTTTTAAAAATATATTTTAAAAAATATGTATGTGTCACATTGTTAATCTCATTTATCAAATTAAAAAATTTTATTATTAATTTATTAAATGATTTTTATTTTTAAATATATATTCTTTATACATAAGATATTATAATAAAAAAATAATTACAAACGCTAGATTTAAATTTTAAAATTATTTAATGTCATACATAAAATTACAATTTTTCACAATCATAAGGCATAGCTAAATTTACTGTTACAATTCAAGTTTCTGTTTGTCAGCCACAATTTGAGATTGAGATTATTTAGGAACTGGAATTAAAGTTGAAGTCTACAAGACTAGAATTAAACTTGTGAATCACTCGTGTTTAGAGATAAGGTCGAGTAGAACAGAGTAGCAATTCAAGTTGCGTTCGACTATGCAAGTGTCAGACGCAAATTCAATGAACGCATGTGACATAGGCCCCCGCTTGACGGGACCTGTTACCACTTGCCAACATATCAGGACAAAAAAACCACTCAACCAACATGGTATATATATATATATATATACAGATCCAGTTCTTGGCAGTAGTCCAAAAGTAGTAGGATACAATTACTAAAGCCAATGAACGAAGTTAAAACAGGACGAGTTTCGATTCAGGTTGCGTTGGATTCGACTATGTTAGTATCAGACTCAAATTCAATGACTGGGACCTGTTACCACTTGCCAACATGTCAAGACAAAAAACTACTTGCACAGCCGGCACGGTCAGTGTCCATTAATTTTTCTGTATCTTGATATTCAGTTCCAGGCGTTGGCAGTAGGCCTATAGGAGTGGGATACAATTGTAAGTATTTGTTCAACGAGCTTGAGCCTTCAAGTAAAGCAAAAGCCATTGAACGAAGTCAAAACAGGATGCTTTACCCAGTCTCTTCAGCAACATATGCCATAGCCGGCAATCAAGACCTCCTTACAGAGATCCTCCTCAGAATACCTGCCAAACCTCTCCTCAATTTCAAATTCGTTTCAAAACAATGGCTCTCTCTCATTTCCAGCTCCCAGTTCCGCCTCTCTCACTCTCGTCGCCACCGTGACAACGCCTCTCTCACGGCTGCTGCCCTCTTGTTCCACTGTGACACTTCCCACAACCCCTCCGGTGGATTCCACATCATCCCCTTCAAGAGCCATTGTTCCAGACTCTCTTTCTTCGACTATCTCAAACACCCAGCTGTCAAAATCATGCAATCTTGCAACGGTTTGCTTCTTTGCCGTTCTTATGATAAATATCTTTGCTTGAAGTACTTTGTCTGTAACCCCATTACTAAGAAATTCAGGATTGTATCTTTTCCTCAAGTTGAAGGCTTTGTTTATGCTGTTAATTTAGCTTTTGACCCTCTTAAATCTGTTGATTACAAGATCATTTCAATCAGGAGATTGATATGGGTAGCTCCTAGATTTCATATTGATATATATTCATCAGAGACTGATTCTTGGAGTGTAAAGGCACTGAGTTTTACTAACGTATGGTTAAAAAATGGGGTTTTTTGTAATGGGGCTATTCATTGGGAAAGTGAGGGAAAGAGTTCATTGTATTTAGATATGGAGAATATGTGCTTGAAAGTCATGCCAATGCCAGTTCGGATGCTGGACGCACCTGAGGGATCTTATAGTGAGAGCAACAGGTTTTTGGGGGAGTCTTGGGGGCATTTGCATCTTGCTGTCACATACAAGCCCCTCGCTTTACAATTCAATATTTTTGAGATGGCGGTAGATTATTCTGGTTGGTTCTTAAAATACCGTGTGAACTTGGAAACTGTGATGAATGGTTTCCCTGAGATGAACTCATATCCTCGAGAGGAGGGGGGCAATCAAATCTCTGCTGCGTGTGTTATACGATCTAACAAAGATGAAGTGTCGAAAGTTGTGGTGTTCGTGAATGGGAAGGCAATTTCCTATGATTTGAATGATGGGACATTCACAAGCCTTTGTGACCTAGACCCGTGTCCAAAAACTTATGGTTCTCCATCGAATGACGAAGTACTCGATGTCTATCAGTACTTTGAGACCCTCTCTTGTGTTTGAGAGGCCTTCTTCTATTGGATACCATATTCTGCAGTCCTATCGTGGATATCAATCATGTTATATTATTTGTGCTCTCAAATATGCTTGCCGTCACTCTTGCATTGAATATGTTTGCAGCTGCAGTGGCCTCGAAAGAATAATCATATATATATATATATATATATTGTCTATCATTTATGTATGAAAATATAACCTTCAAAAAGTGTTAATAGTTCAATTTAAATATTTTTATAAATTTTTAAATTAATAAATTTATCTGTAAATATTATTTTTATTAATTTATTTAAAATTAATTTAAAACAACTAAAATTAAAAAAAAGTTTATGTAAAATTAAATTATTTAAAATTTTAATTTTAAAAAATGTTAAAAGTGATTAATTAAAATATTTGTAATAAATATTTTTTATAAATTTAAAATAAATGAATTTTTTATTATTAGATTATTTTTTATAATTAGACTTTATAAAATGCTAAAAGTGTTATTAAAATAACATAAAAATATTAATATCAAATATATTAATAGTGATAAATTAAAAAATTGTTAGCAATTTTTTATATTATTAATGATTTTGTTATTTATATATTTTATGAGTTGATAATTCGATAATTGGTAATATAATTAAATTTTTTAATATTTTGAAATAATTTTTTAATATATTATTTTTACAATTTTATTTAATCTTTATAATTAATTTTTTTTGTTTTTTTTAATTTCATAATATTATTTTTATAAACAAAAACTACTATGAAATCAAATGCACATTAATTGCACCCATTTATCAACATTTAGCATTATGTGATTTATCAGAAACTTTGATCGAATTTTTTGATGATTCAAGAGGTGGCTTCCAAAAAACAAGTTTATATATCATCTTTTATATATAAATATATAAATTTCAAAAATATTAATAATTCAACTTAAATATTTTTATAAATTTTTAAATTAATAAATTTATTTATAAATATTTAATTTTTATTAATTTATTTAAATTTAATTTAAAACAACTTAAATTAATTTTTATGATAAATTAAATTATTTAAATTTTTAATTCTAAAAGTGTTAAAAGTGATTAATTAAAATATTTTTATAAATTAAATTAAATGAATTTTTTTATTTTTAGATTATTTTTTATAATTAGAATTAAAAGTGCTAAAAGTAATTGATTAAAATAATCTAAAAATTTTAATTTCAAAAATATTAAAAGTGATTAATTAAAAACCTATTAGTAATTTTTTTATAAATTATTAATGATTTTATTAGTTATATATTTTATGAGTTGATCATCGGATAATTGATAACATAATTAAATTTTTTAATATTTTAAAATAATTTTTTAATATATCATTCTTATAATTTAGTTTAATCTCTATAATTAATTTCTCTTTTGTATTTTTTTTCTTAGAATTTCATAACTGTTATTCTTGTAAATAAAAATTACTATCAAATCAAATGCAAATTAATCACACCTTTTTACCAATTATTAGCACTATATAATTTATTGATCACTTTTATTGGATTTTTCCATGATTCAAGAAGCAGTAAAGCTATCAATAGCTCAAGATTGAATCCCATCAAATTACCATAAGACTTATTATATTAATTTATTTGAGTTTAATTTAAATCAATTAAAATTAAAATTAGAGTTTATATGAAATTAAACTGTTTAAAATTTTAATATTAAAAGTATTAAAAATGATTGACTAAAATATTCTTAGTAAATATTTTTATAAATTTAATTTAAATAATTTTTTATTGTTAGATTTTTTTTATAATTAGACTTAAAAAGGTGTTAAAAGTGATTGATTAAAATACCCTAAAAATTTTTATTCCAAAATATTAAAAGTGATTAATAAAAAAACTATTAGCAACTTTTTATAAATTATTAATGATTTTATTATTTATATGTTTTATGAGTTGATCATTTGATAATTAATAACATAATTAAATTTTTTAATCCTTTAAAATAATTCTTTAATATATCATACTTACAATTTAGTCTGACCTCTATAATTAAGATCTTTTTTTGTATTTTTTTCCTTTAAAACATCATATTGTTATTCTTATAAACAAAAATCACTATCAAATCAAATGTAAATCGATTATACCCCTCCACCAACAATAAGCACTATATGAGTTATTAAACACTTTGATTAGAGTTTTCGATAATTCAAGAAGTGGTAAAGCTACCAATAGTTTAGGATTTGATCATATCAAACTGTCATAAAAAATATTCACATTGATTGAAATAATAATTAATTTAATTTTTTCTCAACTTTTATCTTAATATGTATATATATGACTAATTTATATCTCAAGATTATTTAATCTTTCTTAGTTGTATAAAATTGCTCGTTTTTTTTGTCATCTAAGTGGTTGAATGACCTAACATGAATTATTCTAAATAAAAAAAATTATCAAGTGAAGTAAAATTCATTGTTTTGGGTAAATTCTTTCAAGGTGTGACAAAATTCATTAAAACTATTTTTTAAATGTATTTATCCTAAAGTTACATTTATTCGTGAAAATTTATGTTATTAATGCTAAAATGAAATCATTACAAATTATATAAGTATTACACAATAAGTTTGTTATTTTTAGAATTGAAATTTTCTTAAAAAAACATAACAAGTACCAAGGTTACAAATATTTGTTTTTCAAAATTATGTATTATAATATTTTTATATAATAAAAAATTATGTATAATAAATTTTAAAACGAAAGATTATTCTAAGCATAAAAATGAGACAAAAGATTGATTGGTTATATATAACTTTATTTTTTTCATATGACAAAAAAAGTTAGTGCTATATGATGTTTTGATGAAAGTATACAAATGTATTAATTTTAAATTTCTTTAGGATTAATATGAAACTCTTTTATTTGAAGAAACATTGTATACTCCTTCATTTTCTCCTTAGTATTAGTTGAAAAATGTTCAATGTTGTATCAAAATTTTTAAGATTGCCATATTAGGTAATATTTGTTTAAAATAATTGAAATTTATCAAATAATTATCACTATTACATTTAAAATAAAAATATTATCATAAACTATAATTTAATAAATCTTTATTTAATTGTATATTTAATATTTTAATTATTTTAAATTTTGACTTTTCATAATTTCAAGTTTGATTTTAGAGTTAGGACCAGTGACCAATTAGGTTGATTCAAATTTTATCATCTACTATTATTTATAATGTACTCAATTATTCATTTATTCACCTAAATAAATTTAATTCAACAATTGATGCATGCTTCTTTTTGTTTAAAAAACTGAATTCAAATCGTCTTGAATCCAAATAAAAAAATAAGTATGCTTAATTACTTATAATTACAATTTCATTTTATAAATACTCTTAAAATTAATTAATTAATTTAACCACAAATATAATAAAAATAAGACATCAAAGATGAAGGAAAAAAAACTTAAATAAGAAAATTTTAAATTATGATAGAAGATGAATAAGAAATATTGAATTTTAATTGGGTTACTATTTCAATTGAGATTTTGGTTGTATTAAATTATTTTGGATTTTAAATAACTATTAAGTTGTTGACATTTTAAAATCAATTAAAATAGAGTCAAATTAGTTCACTTTTATAATTATGTGTATTATATTATTTTTATTTAGATTAAAATTTAAATTTAGTAAAAAATTTATTTGTACTCAATTTGAATTTTGAATTGTTTTAAATTTAAGTTGATAAGTTTATGTTATTTTAGTTATACTTTTATGACACCGATGATAAATTTCAAAATTAAATGAAAATACAACACAATGAAATTTTAAATACAAGTGATGGAAATACAAATGATAAATCTAGAAGAAAATATTTATGCCTATGTCTTACATATATTAAAAGATATATCTCATTTTAAGGATTTTAAAATTCGTATTACAAAAATGTTAATAAAGATCAAGAAGTTTATAATATTTTATTTGTTGTTCAAGTTGCAACTATTTGGGTTGAGAAAAATAATTCAAACATTTAAGGAAGATAACATAAACTTAAATATTATTTGGATTGTTATGAACTTTTATAATATTTTTTATTCATTCCAAATAAAGAAATTGATTGGCATAAAAATATCAAAAAATTTATTTTGAATGATAGTAATAAGAATGAAACAACAATTAAAAATATACCATATTTTCATTTAGTAGAATAAATTTTTATGTGAATTTGATATTTTTCTAAACTATTTTTTGTTTAATTTTTATAAATTTTATTTAGTAAATTTGTTCTCAGTATTTTTATCATATATATAACAGAATTTTTACTCAAAATCATATATTTCAAAATAGAAAAATAAGGCAAAGTTTATTACATTTATTGGTGATAGAACATTTCAAAATTTTTAATCTTTTATATGCAATTATACTTCACTAACAGATATGAAAATACATACACTAATAATTCAATCAAATCATCAATAAAGTTTATCTCAATATGCATTATTTTACCATGAATTAAAAATTTTTAAAAATATCTTTAAAATATTAACTTAATATATATTGTATATATTTATTTAATTTAGTTTTAATACTTGTGTCAGTATAAAAAGTTATGATTTTAGCTTATTATTACAAGTTAAATTATAAATAATAAATTAAAAGTATTTACTCATACTTTTTAAGTCATTTACATTTCAACTTTTTCTTTTTTTTTCTTTACGTTATAAATTATATCATATAGCATACATAAGGTTACTTTTTCTTTAGATAAATGCAAATATGATAACATAGTAATAGATAATTAATAATTTATTAATTAATTATTAAAAACTTAAATATAATCAATATAACTTAATAGTAATAATTGATAACTTAGTAGTAAATTAATATAGTGATAAACTAATAGTAACTTAGTGATAATTAGTAGTCAATAATTAATAATTTTTGAGTAAATCAGTAATAATATAATAATAAATACATAATACTATAATGGTAAATCAATTATAATATAATTGTAAATGCAAAACAAAATATTTTAAATCAAGGATAACAAAAAAAGTGATAATTTAGTGGTTAATTATTGATAACTTAATAATAAATTAATGATAAATTAATAGTAAATTAGTGATAACTTAATAGTAAATAATTTTTAGTTTACTAGTAATTAATTGATAGTAGTAAATCATAAATAACTTAGTAATAAATTAATGATAAATTAGACATAAATAATTGATAATTTAGTTATTAATCATTGAAAATTTAAAAGTAAATCAGTATAATTTAGTAGTAAATTATCGATAACATGATAGTTAATCAGCGATAACTTAATTATAAATCATGCATAATTTAATATAAATTAGTAATAACTTGGTAGTGAATTATAAATAATTTAGTAGTAAATCGGTGATAATTTTATAGTAAATTATTTAAAATTAAGTAGTAAATCAATGATAACATAATAATAAATACATAAAAATATAACAGTAAATCATTAATAATTTAGTAGTAAATTGATAACTTAGCTATAAATTACTAATAACATTATAACAAATTATTAATAACTTAGTTATAAATCATTAATAATTTAATAATAAATTAGTTAGTCGTTGATAACTTTTTAGTAAATCATTAGTAAATTAATAGTAAATCAGTTATAATTTTACAATAAATCATTAATAACTTAGTGGTAAATCATCAATAATTTAATAGAAATCATTAATAAGTTAATAGTAAACCATTCATAACTTAATGAAAAATCATTCATAAATTAGTAATAAATCATTAATAATTTAATAGTAAATTATTAACAACTTAGTATTAAATAACTGATAACTTAATTTTCAATTATTGATAACTTTTTTACACATTAAGTTGTTAGAAATTGAATTTTGGTTATTAGCAGAAATGAAGTCAAAAATTAGGATAAATTTATCATGAACATATTTAATAAAAAATTTAGTGAAAAATTATAAATTTGAATAAAATAATAATGTTATTATGTAAAAAAATTATCTCATATATTATTAATGGACTTTTAAAATTTCATGTTTCATAGTTGTAAGTGCACGATAACATATTAATAAATCAATTATAGGTTAATAAAAAAAAATGATAATTTAGTAGTTAATAATTAAAAACTTAATAATAAATTAATGATAATTTAATTAAAAATTAGTAATAACTTAAAAGTAAATCAGTTTTAGTTTATTAGTAACTAATTGGTAAACTTAGTAATAAATTATAAATAACTTAGTAGTAAATAATGATAATTTAATAATTAATCATTAAAACTTAAAGTGAATAAATATAATTTAGCAGTAGTTAATCATTAATAACTTAATAGTTTATCAATAATAACTTAACAATAAATCATAAATAATTTAATATAAATCAGTGATAACTTGATAATAAATCATGGTTATTTAGTAATGAATACGTGATGAATTTATAGTAAATAATAAAAAATTAAATAGTAAATCAATGATAATATAATAATAAATGCATAATAAGATAATAAAAAATTACTGATAATTTAGATGTAAATTATTGATAATTTAGATGTAAATTTTGATAATTTAATAGTGAATTAATAATAACTTAGTTGTAATCAATGATAATTTAGCAGTCAATTAGTTAATCATTGAAATTTTCTATAATAAATTATTAATAAATTAATAATAAATTAGTTATAATTTTATAACTAATCATTAGCAATTTAATAGTAAATCATCAATAATTTAATAATAAATCATTCATAAATTTTTGATTATGACATTGATAGCTAGAAATTTTACAATATATCATTGATAACTTAGCAATAATTTAATTATCCATCATTGATAAATTTTTATACTTGAAATTATCAGGAATTGAACATTGGTTAGTAGTAGAAATAAAGTTAAAAATTTCATTAATAACTTAGTAATAAACCTACGATGAACCTATTCAATAAAAAAAATAGTTAAAAAAATTTAAATTTAAATGAAATAATAATGTTATTATAGAAAAAATTATCTTATACTAGAACTAAACCCACGTTTTTCTATGACAATCTATTATTAAATACATGATAATATAAATTTTATCAATGATTACTAAAAGTATATCATAAGTTATCAAAATGTTACTAAAATTACACCAATAGGTTATCAAAATTTTATCAAAAATTATCAAAACTATATTGATGGTCAAAATTATATCATAAGTTATCAAACTAATAGCAAAAGTTACCAAAATTGTATCAAAGGTTATCAAAATTAAAATTATATTAAAAGTCATTAAACTTTAGTTATAAAATAAAAAAAATTATTATTTATCATTATTATCATAATGTAAAACATTATTTATTGAAATAAATTTTTAGAGATAAAAATTACAATTGCGTGACTTGCATGCTTAAAATTAGTATATATATACATATGAATTCATGTTTTTGTATAATATATATAATATAGATAATTTATATGTTCGTCTTTTACAAAGAAAATTACATGTTATAATTTATATCATCACAAAAAATTTGAATTAGGCATTTTGATTTATGTTAAATCCCAGTAATTTTTATTAAAATTTTAAGTTATATCACTTATGTATTATTTACTTAATCATATTACCTTTGTGTTTTTTAGTTAATCATATAGTGTTTTAAATTAATAAACCTCATGTTCTAGATCTTGAAAATAAGTTTAGAGGTATTTATAGGTTGAGCCGAATAGAGTTTGAGTCAGGCTTATTCTTGATATTAATAACTTATAAATTTATCTAAGTTCGACTTAATAAAAAATTTCGAGTTTTAAAATTTTTTTAAGCTCGACCCAAATTAAAAAAAAAAATCTCAAACCCACTCATTAAACTAAATTTATATAATAAAAATTAAAAAAATATATGATTAAATTAAGTTTAATAAAATTATATTCAATTGATATATATATAAATTAAAAATATAATTATATAAAAATAAAAAATATGTTTAATAAAATATATAATTTTTATTTTTAACTTTTATATATAATAAATTCATTTATATATAATTTATATATACAAAAATTCAAATCAAATTAAACCGTACTAAGCTTAAATTTTAAATTTTTTGTCCAAAACCCAACCCAAAAATCGAAATAAAAATTATGCCCAAATTTATATAACAAATTTTAATTTTTTGTTTAAATCTTCTTAAAACTAAAATGAATCTTTAAATTTAGATAGATAACCCGAACCCTTATCAGGTCTAAACCAGTTTTACCAATATTATTTTGAAGATGTGATTTATTTTTCCATTTGTATTCATTATTAACTACTCATTCATGTTCTCAGAATCTGCACTTTTGTCTATCCATTTGATTGTTAAGTTGGTTATTTCTATGCTTCAGGGTCTGTTTGACTCCTAAGACATTCTGACAACATGAAATTAACTAATAGATCATAGCTCCCTTTGACCTGTTAGATAAGAACAATGTTAGACTACGTAATTTTTTGTAGTCGAATATATATATAATATATATATATATATACATAAACAGTAAATAAGGATTTTCAAGAATTGAATAAGCTGAAAAAAGCAACACAAATTGAAGGCAAATAACCTTAGAGAAAACTAGTTCAAGATATCCGGAGATCTCTCCATATTTTGTAACAATGCAATAGAATTAGAAAAGCTGCTGCAAACAAGAATAACTTAGAAAGATCCTATGAACCTGCCAAATTACAATACATTTAAATCTTTGACACCCTGGGAACCATAAAAAACCTTTCTCCCCTGCCGCTTTCCTTGGTGCATCACTGCTTCTAACATAACTCATACAATCAAGCGGCCTGAAAGACATAGAACACTACAAAGAATTTTCCGACTGGGCAATGTATTATTTTTCGCAAAGAAAAAATCGTGATGACTTCACAGTAGATTTAATTCTTATGTACCAGAGAGATTGGCTTGCATTTTGGCTCCAGGAAACTACCACGGTCTGAAAAAGTACTAAAATGCTACTTTTGCCAGTGCAATTCTATGCAAAAGGATTTCTTCCAATGGAAGCAACAGGCCCTTGGGCTGGGACATTCCTGCCAAAATAGAAAATGAATTTTTTACTTCCGAAAAGCATGACATAATTATGCACAGTTACTTGAATGTGAAAATTTAATTAGCATTGATGTCAAGCAAGAAATTTCTTCTCTAGCTTTATGAATCAGTAATTCCAGATAGATTCTTGAATAACTCATTCATATAAATATGAGGTTGTTGATTTGATCTTAGTATGAGACACAAGTAACACAACATTCCCCAAGTGAAGATTAATAACTTTAAACTTGAAAACCACAAGCCAAACAAAACATTGCAAGGAGAATCCATGCTTTCAAAAGTGGGTATGAATAACATATAGATGATGTCCCTTGAGGAAACACAATAATGATGATAAAATTGACTGTAACATGATAAAACAACTAACGGTATTTGAGAACTTGGTGCTTGGCCAGACATGTATGCTAAGCCACCTGCAGAAATAAACAAAAAAAAAAAAATCAAGTATCTACTTTAGGAAAACCTCATGGTTCATTGGGATGATGTTTTACAAAGGTATTCTCTTTTCCGTTTCCATACTGCATGTCCAATAAGATCCATCAGCCAACCGTGAATTAAACAACTATTGCTCTCTAGTTCCAAGGAGACAAGAACTACCTTGTGGTGTTGCTGGGATATACGGAGTCACTGGATTCTGAGGAAACCATGGTTGTACACCACCAAGAAAGGTGGATGGCAAGTGAGCATTTGGAAGTGCAGTTTGTAATGAACTCATATCCAAGAACTGCAATATGCCATAAACCAGGAAGAAATTGATCAGAACAATTCAAATATTGCATCTATCCTTCCCACAAGTAATGTCCTCCAAATCAATCTAAAGCATGGACTATTAAAAAGAAAAGGTGAAACATTATTGATTTCCTCCATAAAAAGAAGGTGGTCAGCCGGTTGCAAGCATGCTAAATATTGGCATTTCATCTACTTACCAATGCTCCTTCAAGCATGAAAGTATATTCATGTCAAACCAGAATTCAGAAATTGAAAGAATAAGTAGGTCAAAGAACTAAAAGAACAGGCAGTTTGTTTAGAAAATGCAACAGATACCAAGAAATGACAACAATGAAGGAACCACCTAATCATCTAGATCAATGATATGACATCTCCAATTGTCCACCCTTCAGTTACACCATAGAAATTTAATTCAAATTTGACTCTTCACCTAGCACATCATATTTAGATAATACTAATTTGGAAAAATACCAACATTCAGAAAAACCCTGAGAGGTAACATTAAAGCAAATTCCTAAAACAATCATGTGGAATTACACAGGTGTTTAACCAAGCCAAATGGCTAGATTTTTAACATCATCTTGTCTGTTATCCATAAGAGAAAACACAAAGATTGTGTCCCTTCTCTCCCATAGTCTCTACAAAACCTAACCCCCTGACCTTGAAAACCATTAACTATCCTTGAAAGGCACATAGATTGTGTCATCTCTCCCTCCCCTTAAAACTTAGCCTCAAAAAAGGGTAAGTTCTCAGCAAGACCAATCAAAATACAATAAACAAAAGCACACCAATAATACAGATAAAATTATAGGAAATATCCCCTTGAAAGAAATGGTAAGTAAACTGTACAATCCATCTCCACAGAACCAGGACAAAAACGTTAGCATGGATAAAACAAAGGCATTTTAACCTTAGGTAAAGATCAACCAATGTTACGAAAATAACAAAGTGTAAAGATATTCAAAGATCAACATGCATGATATACCAGATCATTTTGTTCCAATTCAGAATCATAAGGAAGATCAAATGGGTTGGTTGATTTACAATCGGCAGCTTGCGACTCTTTTACTCCCTACAAAATTAAGGAAGTTTAAAACCTAAAGAGATGAAAGAAGTGCTCAATAATAATCCATATATTATAAAGAAAAAAAAAAGAACCCGTAAGCTAAAAGATCAAACCAAAAGTGGATTCACCAGTGGATCATATGATGGTGCTACACCATCCTCTGCTGCTAGAGTAGCAGGGAAACCAGTATAGGAGGCAACTGTTTGGATGCCATCATTATCATGGTTCTGCAGGAACAAATATTTTAAACATAAATAGAAGAAAAGAAAATCTTTGGTATCATTAGAAATAGTAGTAGGTAACCTTTGAAACTCCCAAGCCCAAATGTTGTTCAGTGGTGGCCAAATGATTGTACACTACTACTTGTGGTTCCAGAGAAAGTGATTCAGCAGAATCATTAAAAGCATTCCATGACTGTTCAAAGGCAATGGATCACTTGACCTTAATTTGATTGGAGAGAAAGAACTTTATATTTCTAACCACAACCATATATAAGCTAAGCAGTGAAAAACATGAATAAATTTAAGCTACAAACGCAATTGTTTCTTATTCATCACAAAACTGCAATGGGCTTAAGAAGAGTACCCGTTACAATGTCAAATGGCTTACCTGAGTGCCAGTTGCAGCGGTGGAGGCTTGACCATCATGCAAGCCCTCTGGCCATTGACTAGACATTGCTGTAGTAGCCCTGAGAACACTAGAATCTTCAAACACTGGCCACTGCATGGTTGTGTTTAAGGATGACAATTGGTCAAACTTCACTGCCAAATCTCCATCACTGGGCATTACAGCAGGTGAAAGATGTTTGGTTACTGGACCAGATGCTGCATGCTGAGGAGTATCAAACGTTGCCCATCCTTCATTTTTAGATATAGATAACTCTGGTGATTTTCCATCAAAACTTGCAGCTGGGAGCTGCTCAGCAATCCCGGAAAATAAGTCTATAGATGGAGTAGATGGGGAAGGTTGATACAAATTCCCAGGCAGCATCGAAGATGCTGCTGCAGGTTGAAATATATTTTCAGATGAAACCGATGAGGTTGCAGGCAACTGAAACAAATCTATAGGTGGAGCGCTAGAAGCCTCAGGTACATTAAAGAGATCTAGACCACCATAATTCACAGGAAGAGATGGTGGGGCTAAAGTAGATGCTTTATCATGACAGGACCCAGCAGTTTCTTCAGGTTCAGAGACAACATCCAGTCCAATTCCTGAGTTATATGACTTGATAGACATGGAATTGCTATCAAATGATCCAAAACTACCCATGGATTTAGTTCTCTACATAGAGCAACAATTCTGATGTCAGTTAAGGATGAGACGACAAACAGATAAAAGTAGTTGTATGATACACATGATAAAGCATGTAGAACTACAACAAACAAAGAAAAGGGTTCATTCACTTGACAACACTTGCATCTAACATATTTAGTATCACTATGATCATTCCAACTTGTATTAAAATACTTTTAATCATGAAACACATTAAACATCTTAGCTAGATCCACATTCCAACAATCATAAAGTTAGCAAAATAACAATACTACTCATAAGAAAGCCAATAGTATCTCTCCGAGCATGCATATGAAGCAACTGACAATAAACCATGAATACACATGCCTGAACTTTGAATAAAATAAATGAAAAGAACAGCAGGCGCTGCAGGAATATTTCTGGAAATGGTATCAGCTACACTACTTATCATGTAGGTTTGTTCTCTCTTCTTGATGTTAATAATCACTATATGGAAGTACCCCACCAGAATGCATAGAAACACACATAGTGTTACGATGACAAAGCTTCAAAGAACCATATATTTCCAGATTTGGCAACAACTTAAGAAGAAAAGTACTTCTTAAGGTGGGCATGTGAGAAACGTGATATCTGACCTGTGGGTGTGGAATCCCTTCAGCATCTTTCTTGGAACTTGGATCCACAAATAAATTACTTGTTTGATGTTGTGTATCTTCACTTAAGACATCTCTTTGAGGTTGAGAAGTTGGGCTGCCAAATCCAATGTCCCTATGAAAATTTGGAGACCCTGTACCAGATTTGAATGGATCGCCTCCACTGGATACAGAGTAGTCTGAAACTCTAGGAATGGAACCCTCATTTGCAAACCTGTCCTCAAACATTTGATCACTTAAGCGACCAGGACTGTAGACAAAACTAGAAACCTTCCCCACATAATGGCCTCTATCCGAACCAGGCTTCCTAGAAAGCGCAGCAGCAACTTGTTTTCCATAACGCCGATCTTCATATTGATAGTCATAAGGTGGACTTTGAGAATAAGAATGATAAGAACTGGCACGTCTTACGTCATCTTCATGATTTCTAGGGCTCTGTCAAATTTATTTTAGAAACCCACATTTAAAACTGCTCTAGGATTTAGTAAGATGAATTCAAATAAAACTGAAAGACAAGTACACACAAACACCCATATCTAAAAATTGACCAGTCTGATCTCATTTGCATAAATTTGTTTAATGAACACCAATGTGGGCAGTGGTTCTTAAATAAAAATAGTATTTCACTTTTCAGTAAAGAAAACAGATAAAATAAAAAGTATTTAAAAAAAAAAAAGAAAATCCAGAATTAGGAAGTTCAACTTCAGACCAAATGATCCACAACCATATTCTCTTCATTTTCTAATTACAAAACATGGTTTTAGGAAACATAGCCAAGCAGCATAAAGGTTTAGCAAAAATTTTTAGTTTGAAGACTCATAATCACGGTAAATACTAGATAGGAAGAAATTACCTGCATGTCTCTTGGAGGCTTGTCAGATGTTTTTCCTCCGGCGTATTTTCTGTCCACATACACATTCTTTATAAACTCTCGGATTTTATCAGCATTGCTGCAATAAGAAAGAGTTGTTAGAAAACCCCACATCTGTCAAGAACATGCCTAGCACTGAAGTTATAAATAACATATTCTGCACCTGCTGTCAGGCAATCTTTGCCTCTGCAGGTCCCAATCCTTAAGATATATATCTCTTGCACGCTGAAAACAGTAAAATGAAAAATATCTCATCAACATTATAATAAGCAATCCCACTCCTTCCATAGATAGCAACAAATGTAACAGTAATTCAAACCTGATTACCACCATTTTGAAGAGCTTCAACTTCCTGTAAAGTGAACTTTGACATTGATACATACTTTACACGATGAGTAAACTCACGACTGCAACACAAATTATCGCCAGGATAGGACAAAAAATGGTAAAGATTTGAAAGACTCAATTATGATATCATGTCACTCCACCAGAATCATGCAGAGTAAATACAAATATGCAATCATCAACCAAATTGAAGGAGGAAAGGTGCAATAACTCCTTTAAGTTAAGGAGCTTAACATCATCAAAATGAGTAACAACAAAAGTTATCAAAAGTTTAAGTTGCAGAAATCATAATGAATTGATATACATAACACTGACAACGTTACATACTACCAAATATGCAAAGCTTCACAAAAGTGACAATTATTTCTACAGGAAAACCGTAGATGGTGAAAAAACTAAAAGAAAATACTCACTGGATCCCACTGCAAGCCATGCAAACGAAAGTCCAAAAATTTGTGCAAACATACTGAGGAGCCTGTAACAATAGAACCACAAATTAATATAAAAGAAATAGGGGATACAAAAAAGAAAAAACTTTATAACCAGAAGAACAAATAAAGCAAATTTAATCCTTTCAAGTCATGCTGAACAACAGTTTAGGCCTCATAAGAGCAGAAAAAATAAACCGGAATTTGAAATCTATTAGTGCCAAACTGCCAATTGATTATTAAAAGAAACAACAACGCAAATTTAAACGCACTTTTTAAAACAGCTGATTTACCATCTTTAAATTCATTACTAATAGATGCATTCAAGAAAACAAGAAAACACATTTTCAAAAACCATTTCTATAACCTCAAACCCTTCTCTTTTTCTTTGCTTTCCCAGCCTCCAAACAGACCTTAATCATCATAACAATTAGCTAAACTCAATTCTTACAAAACAATAAAAAAGAAAAGAAAACCCAATTTAGAAGACCATTTCTATAACCTCAAATCTCTCTCCTTTCTTCTTTTCATGCTTAACTATAATACCCATCAGCTAAAACTAATTCGTCCAAGAGAATTAAAAATATATAATTTCAAAAACATTTCTTTTTCATTTTTCCCATACTTTGCCAGCCTCCATAGCACACCTTAACTATAAAAACCCATAAGCCAAAAACTCTTTTTTTTTCAAAAAAAAAAGTTTGAGAAATTTTACCAAGCTGTTACAGTTAATACAGCGACGATTAGGAGGCAGTTTCATGAGACCTCTTATTATCCTCTCGTTCTTTTCTTCTTCTTTCCTACTTCCCATTTCTCAAAACAAACAATTTTGATCTTCCAAAATTAACAATAACCTCAAACAAACCCTAAAAGCTTCAAAATTTATCAAAAACCCAGTTGGAATTCAATACTTTACGCTCAAAAAAAAAAAACCCTATTAATAAGCATGAATCAAAGAAAAATGGGAAATTTAGAGGTTTGGGTTTTGGAGAATTTTTGGTTAAAAGGAAAGGGAAAGTCTTTTTTAGTCAGTCTGATGGCGACAAGAACGATCTGTACCTTTCATTTTGAAAAAATAAATTAAATATTAAAAGTAAGGAAAATAAAAAGAATAGAAAAAAAAAAGTCGATTTATTTATGATTTATTTTTGTTTTATTTAATTTTTTAAATTATTTTTGTGTACTTTTTCATGCGGAGGATTTATCGTAATTTTATAACCTATCATTTGAGGAGAATGGATACTGGCAAGATGAAATCTTGCTGCTTCCACGAATTCTACATTGCACGAGACCTCGTGATAATTCAATCACTATTCCATGTAAAATTACTAGTAGCAGGTGGATTCTGCTAAAATTTGTACTTGATTTCCAACATTTTAATTTTTTTTAATTTTTAGATTATTATTATTTTATAAAAAAATTTGTTACAATTCAAACTCAAAATAAAAAAAATGTCAATATGAGAAAATAATTTTGACAAACATTAAAATTTATATGAATATATAAATTTGAAAAAACCTTAATTTAAGATTATCCAAAATCTGTAATAATCTTAAACTTGAAAATTTTAAACAAATTAAATACGAAATAACATGATTTCACATTAACATGTTTTTATGTTTTACAAAAATAAATAAAAAACCAAAAATAGGTAATTGTAAAAAGAAAATATATATATATCAAATGAAATCTTAAGGATTAAAGGCAACATTGAAATTTAACCTTATAATTTTGTTGCTTTTTAGATGTAAATACACAAAATTGATGAAAATTTGTACATAAAGGGTGGTGAATGGAATCTAGAAAGAGGGTGTGGCGCTAGCAATTTTAATTTATCCTTTATGTTTGGAATCCACGTTAGAGACATTGATAATCCCCCGTAGATACTTTTGCAACGGTAAAAGGAGTATATGAATTTCCCAAACTGTAGAATTGAAATTTTCAATTAGAAAGGCTCCGAAGGAATGAAAAAGAGAAAAGAAAATTCCTAACTTTTTCTATGTTGATTAGAATAGTTTTGCTTTTATCTTTTTCTTAGTGGGCACTTCAACATATCATATTCCCCATGTTTCAATTAATTTGATTATAAATAAAGTCATTACTATCTTGTTTTTAATTCTTCATCCACGTAAACATGTTAATATTAAATTTATAATGTAATTTGATTATTCATATAATTATTTAAAAATAATAATATCTAATAAATATTAATTTTAAATTTTAATTCATATAATGTTTTTAATTTTTATATTATGATTTTCTTTATAAAAAATATTAAATAATTTTTAATGGCCGATACCAACATCAATTGATGATTTTTTTTTTTTACTATTTGTCATTAATTTTTCATTTTAGTGATCTTAGTTGTATAACCTTCTACCATTTAAAGGGTGACAAAAATCTATTTAGTCAACTTTTTAATTATTTTTTAAAAGAAAAAAAAAAGTGAAATTGTTGGCTAAAACTTAGTGTTACAAAAATAAGTTTAGAATTAAAGCATGCTTGATTTTCACTGAAGATGCATGAAAATTATTGATAGTTTAAATATTGTTTTTCTTTTATTATAAACAAAAATATTTAAAATTGTCAAAATTTAAATTATAAATCAAGATATAATTAAATGTACATTTAAACTTAAGCTAAAAAAATAATAAAAATATATGCATTTAAGATTTCACAAATAAGAATTACTGTGGGTTTTTGGACTAAAGTTTAAATAGGGTTTGTAAAAAGGAAAATTGAAGAGGTAAGTTGTCTAAAAAATTATTTTGGGTCACAATCATGATAATTTCACACTCACCCTCATCGTTTTGGTAATGGGACTATTGTGAGTGAAGTGGATTATTTTAGCCAACTAATAAATGTCCCTACCCTTATAGATTAGTTGTAATTATTGATTAAAAATATGGGATAAAGTTTAAAATTTTCATTTTACATATTATGATTATCAAATTTATTAATCACATCATTTGGTCAAAAATATTAAAAACAAATTAAATATTTTACATCAATATTTTTGCATGAAATATCCTTTTATTAATAACTTTTGATCATTTTTAATCAAATCATATATAATATTATATTATAGTTTACATGCTTACTTGATAAGGTTGGCTTACGGGAAATTTTATGTGGACAATCTATGTTATTGACATATAGAATAATTTTTTAATTGTAGTTGATCACCAAATAATCTTATTATTTAAATTTAAAAAATATTTCAAATTTTAAAAAATCATATTTATCCCAAATTTTTATGTTAAATAATTTATAATCTTCATCTTCATTTAAATGAGATAAAATTATTGGGATCATTTCAATTAAAAAATAAAAATAAAATCTCATTTAAAATTAACCTAAGTTTTTTTTTTATATAAAATATGTATATATTATTTAGCTTGCATTTAAACTACATAACTATGTTGTAAAACAATTTTGAAGTTTTGGACTTCATTTATTTATTTACTTACTATTATATGTAACGTAAAATATGAATATATTTAAATATTACATTTTTATTATTATATTTGTAATATATTTTTTCAATATTTTTCATCTTAAATTAATTGATTTTTGTATAATAGTCAGTAAAACTAAATGCTTGCATGAAATGTTTGTATTATTATAATTTTGTCATTTATAGTAAATATATAATCAACTTTCACTTTAAATTAATTTTTAGTGTATAATTAAGTTAATTGTTATTAAAAAACTTTCTATAATAAATTAAATAAGACCATAGGTTCATAATAACATGTAATACTTATAGTTATTTTTTATTTGCATTACAATAATATATTTTTTAATGTTTTCATATGTCCTATGATATATATATATATATATATAGAACAATAGTAATTATCTATAAAATTCTTTAAGAAATTAATTAAGACTAAAATAGGTGAAAAATAATTTTTATATAGATGGTGAATTTTAATTTGGGTGTGGGGTTAGATTGATGTTACCTAAATAAGAAGATAATAATATATGACAAAACATTTATTAATAAAGTAATTAAATTTTAGTTAAATATTGATAAATTTAAAAAACAAATTAAAATTATTGATATTTTTCAATATTTTGATCAAAATCATAATTTAGTAAAGGTATGTTAAAACTTCTTTTATTATTTAATTGATCATTTAGTATTTATATTCTTCTAAAAAATTAATATTATATTTATATTCAATTATTTTTTATTTTTTATCCATGTCTAATATCTCTTAATTTTCACATTTATTATCAATATTTTGGCTAAGATATAATAGTAAAGCTTAATTTTCTTATGAAATGTTAATTAAATATATATTTTATATTTTATATATGTCATAAAAATTTAAATTTAGATATAATTGTAAAAAAATATAAATTTTATAACGTAAACACATATTTAAATAAATAAAATAATTTATGCATTACATGAGTCACAAACCAATTAAAAATATAATGACAAAAGTCAAGTGTTAAAAAATGAATGATACATTTGATCAAGAAAATGATAAATTTAGACTTTATCTCAACAATATGATCAATAGATTTTCTTATGACAATTTAATAATTTTCATGAACATATTTATGAAGTACGGTTCTAATTTTTAATTGCAATTATAAAATTTAAAAACTTATCAAACAATGTATATCATATATGATGATTTATCAAAATTAAAAATAATCCTTATAAAAATTTCAAACCCAATCTTTAAAAAGGCAAAATAAAGAATTTTCTACTTTTCCAATTATCAAGTTTAAATTATGTTACTATCATATATTAAAATTTTTTTTTTATCACGATAAATCATAATATATTCGTTCGAAGTTGAGATTAAATATAAAGAGTAAAATTAAAATTAAAAAAAAATTTATATATAGATAATAAAATTTCTAAACTTTTCATAAATACATACACTAATATTTATTAAAATTTGAAAACAATCCTTATAAAATTTAAACAAAAAAATGATAAAATATATAAAGGTTAGTTTAAAATTTTTGTTGTCATTGAAAAAAATTTGAATTGAAAAAAATACATTTAAAATGTACGCTAAAAAAAGTATGATTATAAATTATAAATATTTGATATTACAATAAAAAAAAATGTTGTGCATAAGTGAAATGTCTAAAATATATATAATATATAAAAATATAAAAAATAAAATAATTCTTTATTTTAAACGTTCTTTTTTATTGCAAAAGCATTTCAATTTTTTTGGTTTGGATTGAAAAACTAAGTTAAAAAAAAAAAGCAAAACAAAAACTTTTTATTATTTAACATTATATTTGAATCAAAAGCAAATTTTAAGTGCAGAAACTATTCTCTAACTTAATACTAAACCTTTCGTAAATAACCTTCTAATAACATTAGTGATTGATTAGTCATAGATAACATCCGAAGTTCCGTTCTTTTCCCCTTCATAGATCATCAACCAACCCTCCGATCTGCTTACTTACTAAACAATCATCCAACGGTCCAAATCAAACCCCACCCTCTTCCTCTTTATCTTTTACCCACCCTCCTCTTATTCCTCCACCGTTCTCTCTCTCCAACTCTCCGCCTTCGCCAGAATCATTTCTCTGCCATGGCCACTCTCCTTAAAACGCTGCCGTTTAAATCCCCTCCTCCTCTATCTCCACGTGTAAGATCCATTTCCTTAAACTCTCCAAAGCCCTTTCATGTCTGCTTCAATCAAAGACTTCCTCCTACACGTTGTACTCTCCGGTTCAGCTCCACTCCCTCTCTTCGGTTCGTAAAGTTGGTTCCTTTTGCTTCAAATGGAAGTGAAACTGAAACCACTGAGACCCAACAAGAAGTTCAAGAACCTCAAACTGAGGTAACTTTTGAGGTTCTTGAACTTTCTCTGAACTAGGTTCCATTTTTTATGGTTTTGTGTTTCTGGGTTTGATTTTTTTTGCCTTGTTTTTATTTTTATGTTTAGTTTTTCATGTAAATTTGACAAAAATATTTCTGGGTTTTGGAATTTAATGGTTGAGTATGTTAGAAATGAGCAAAAAGATGGTAACTTGAGGGTGTATAGAAGTTAGCTATATCAATGAATTTTTTAATAGAAAATCTTCTCTTTTTGCTTTAACCATTGGATGTAGTTTACTCAATGACTTTTACCTATTAGAATCTCTTTTTTTTTTTTTTTTTCTAGGTTGAACATATATTATGACCATTGTTAAGAATGTTCCACATTTCTAATTTATTGTCAGTCCCCATGTTCAAGTAGACTCAATGACATGGATTGTGACATGGATTGTGATTATGATAGATATAGAAGGATTTTTAATGGAATCCAATCAGATTATTTGGTAATTCACATGAAGGAGCAATTTGTGTTGAGTGAAAGGGGAGAATGGGTGAAACCTAGCAATGAGCTAGGAGATTTTTATTTTTTAGGCCTAGGAGATGAGGTGGAGTTGAAATTGATGGGAACTTGGTTGAAGGGAGTTGGGACTTGAGTTTTGAGTGCATCAATCTGCGCAAGAATTATGGTGAAGTTCATGAGCATGTTGTAAACCTGAATTAACAGTATACAACTTTGTACTTGGTTTTATGCCATTCTTGAAATTGAAACATGGTTAGATAGAAATTTGGAGTCTAATCTATTTTATTGCAATATTTTTCTTCACATAGTTCTTTTTTATTACATTGTTAGAGACATATTTGTGGCTGCATTTTTCATCCTGATGGATATATATGTACAGGATTCTTCAGATGGTGCTGTTGCGGTTGAAGAGGATGCTACCGGAGATGAGGGTAGTGATTTTGAAGAAACAACTTCTTCGGCCATTGCATCATTGCTCCAATCATACAAAGAAGCTTTGGCTAGTAATGATGAGTCAAAAGTTGCAGACATAGAAGCATTTTTAAAATCCATTGAAGACGAGAAAGTTGATGTTGAAAAGAAAATTGCTTCTTTGTTAGAAGAACTGTCAATAGAAAAGGATCGGATTCTTAGGATTAGTGCAGACTTTGACAACTTTCGTAAGAGGACAGAGAGAGAGCGCCTTTCATTGGTAACAAATGCCCAAGGAGAAGTTTTGGAAAATTTGTTGCCTGTTTTGGATAATTTTGAGCGAGCTAAAGCCCAAATTAAGGTTGAGACAGAGGAAGAAGAGAAGATCAATAACAGCTATCAGAGCATCTACAAGCAGTTTATGGAGATTTTGGGCTCACTTGGCGTTGAACCTGTGGAAACAGTGGGAAACCCCTTTGATCCAATGGTGAGTTAATACTCATTACTCTCTGCTCTCCCAACCTTTTGTAGACATGATAAATTTTACTAGAAGCTTCTTCATAACTCAATGTTGGGACGTTTCATGATTTGTCGCATTGGGCACTTCAAAGTCAAGTGTATGGTAATTGGTTCATATCCTCATTCAAAATTTCTCTTACCATGTTCTTGTCCTCTTCATCATTGAGTTTAGGTGGCAGTCGGTGAACTAATTGTCTTTTGAGGCCCCAAATACAAGATTGTGTTTGATTACTCATGAGAAGAATTAGACTGAAATGTGAGATAGTTACAATCCGAATTTACATAAAAGATATTCAAGTTAAATCTTCTAAATATGTACACTAAATTTGAATATCACATGAAAGGCATCATTTTGGTTTGTTAATTGGCATAATGATAATTGGTTTAATGCAGGTGAATTACCGAGTTGGCTCGATATTCAGTCAAGTACTTGATGAGCTTTCTCGGATATTTAATCAAGTTTGTTCAGGTTTTATGAAGACCTGGATACGCTTTTAATACAAACCAAGTCTTGATTGATTCGAGCTGACTCGGTGAGTTTACAAGTAATGATATGATATGTTGATATAAATATTAGATTTTAGTTGTGGCATGAAAACTTACTTGTAATTCCTTAAGCTAAAAAGAGGTGGGTAGATGGTGAAGAGAAACTTCATGGGAGCTTCTTTTATTTTTATGTATTGTTGATGGATACTTTTAACAATTTTCTTACAAATTGCTTTGTCTCTCTTGTAAAAGCTGCATGAAGCAATCATGCGTGAGGATTCCACAGAATTTGAAGAAGGTATCATTCTTCAAGAATTTCGCAGGGGGTTCAAGCTGGGAGATAGGCTGCTACGTCCATCTATGGTTAAAGTATCAGCTGGTCCAGGGCCTGCAAAGCCTGAACAAGGAGAGTCATTAGAAGGGGCAGATGTAGTTGAAAGCACAGAGACCAGTGAAACTGTTGAAAGCAATGAAACTGCTGAAGGCAGTGAAACTACTGAGACCAACCCGGGAGCATAGTCTGCTTGAAGACTAGATAAAGAACCTGGATTCAGTTTTGTATAAGCGAAACGGTATTAATTTTACCTCAATTATTAGGACTCCATTTTGGTGGTAGCAATTGTTGTGTGGGTGATATATTGTTGTTAATTTTTGTTTCATTTTGGAGGAATTTACATCAAGATGAGCAACAGCATATTTTGGAACAATTCCTGTATCTCTCCTTTTATCCCTGCTCGCAAACTTGCTAATGGAGTTTACATAAACATTAAACTTGTTAATGGCTAATGAGGCAATATCATTGGATGAGCTAATTGAGTGGAATTGTCTTCTATATAGGAAGTCGATTTTAATTAAACGAGGCAATTCAATTCTTGGTACGGTAATTTGAGATTAAAACGATATAAAAAGTTGTATAGATTACAATTTTAATAAAAACTATACATGAATTTAACAAAAATAAAATATAATAAGTTTACAAGAATTCTTATATGTTTACCTAGTTTCAACTGCATAGGATTTTGCTTGGACCAGGCTTTACCTATAGGTTATGTTAACCACAGCTCAAGCCCAAAAAAAAGATGATCTTATTTTTAAGCATATTGTATGTTTTGATTTCTTATGTGCAGATAGGAACAAGCCGCTAACAGTAGTTAACAGTAGTTTAGTCTATGTTGGATTCTTGAAGTTATCGGAGTTCAATCTCTAACGGCCTTTAATAATAAATAAGTCCCTCTTTACTCGGAGTGGAGAAGTAAGCTGCTAGGCCAAAGCCCACAGCTCAATGGAAGAAATAGCTTAATTTGTCAAGAGCTCAAAATAAAACCTTTAGCCTTAGCTTTTATTCCACCTTAGGTGTTGTGCAATGTAGTGTGATTGAATTTATCATATTATTAATTAAATTTAAATATTAATTTTAATTAAATCTATTCATTTTAAATTTTTTATTAAATTTTTTTATCATATAACTTTTATTATTATTTTTAATTTTACTAAAATCAATTTTACCATTCATCCAAATAAAATTTTAATCCTTAAACCCTTGGCCTAGAAGTTAAGGCGTTTGATGGGGACATAAAGGGTTTTTTTCAAAGCAGCCATCCGCCTCCCCTAATATGTTTTGTGGACTAAAAAACAGTAAAACCTAAAAGATTCAACAAATAGGCCCAAATTTGATATGTCAAAGGAAAATTTTTTTTTTCAAAATATATGTTTATATGCACAAGTAAATTCATCAGTAAAAATAACAATCAAATTAAATTAATTTGATATTAAAAATAAATATAATTAATTTGATCAAAATCAAATTAATTACGAATTTAAACTAATTGAAAGAAATTTAAGTTACTAAAAATAAATGTAATTATTTGATTAAAATCAATTCAAATGAAGGATATATGAAAAGAAAAATAATTTTTTAGTTGTTCACATTTATGTATAAAGTAAGTCAATTAAAAATGTAAAAAAAATAAATATAAATTATTATATAAAATAATTAAAATTTAAATTAAATCAAAATAATTAAATATATTACACATATAGTTTGTTTAATATTGCACAAGATCTTAAAGTTGTTGATTTTCTTACTGAAATCCAAGTAGCTAAGCATTTCTAAGTTCTGTATAATGCATTCATGTAACATGCAATATTTAATCATTTGTAGGAAGTAATCTCTTTGGATGCCGTACAACAATTAAAAGTATGATGTTCACTGTTGAAAAATCCATATATTTTGTTGGTCAAATTGAATATAAAAAGTTGAGAAAAAATTATGTGAGTGCATGCATTGTATTAAAGAATATTTTCTTGCATTTGTTACAAAAGTGATTAGGAATGGCAATAGGTTAAATTAGAATGGGTTTTTATTCGCTTTGAATTTAACTTGATTTTATATATATAAAATTTGAATTCGATTCGATTTGATTTTTTTTTTATACTAAATTTGATCTGATATTATATAAAATCATATCGATTCAATCTGAAATTAATAAAATATTATTTTTAAAAAATAATATAAAATAATATAAATATATAAATATAATTAAATAAATAATGAAAAATAAATTTATATATATTGAATCAAGTTTGTCTAAAATTGACCTTAATTTTTTTTATTATTATTATTCAATCTAATTCGATCTGATACTTAATTTAAAAAAAAATTTTAAATTAGATTAAAACGAAATTTATTGGATATAAGTTTGATTGCCTTCCCTAAAGGAAGTTCAATAGATCTATTCGCTGTAAATTCCTAGGGTTCTGCATTTAAAGTAAGTACGGTGTATTGACTTACAATATTAGGTTCTGTGACAATTTTGTCTCCTTTTAATGGTCTTTCTATTTTGGATCGTGGCTGTATGTTAATGTGATTGTATCATGTTTAGTGCAAGCATTATTCATTTACCTACATCTACCATTTTTACCAAAACTTTGGGCCATTCCATTTAGTCAGCTTCCAAATTATCTTAAAGATAATGCAGCTTGCTTCTTTGAACGTTAGTGGTTATGTTATTAAGGGGTAAGCCGTCATAATTGTTTTATTATCTTCTATCTGTTGTAAAAATCAACCGATTCCATTCTAAGCAGTGGAGGCAATGATTGCATTTCAAATGGAAGGCATAGTGTGCCATGAGTATGCCCATAAATTGCATATGTCATACATCTTACACGAAATAGAGACATAATTTAGAAAATTACAAGTCATTTCATAATAAAATATAGAGTTGATGTACCATATACATTAGATTTTTTTTTATCAAATATAAATTATAATATAAAATAAACAAACACAAATTCACAATTTATCAAATATAAAATAATTATGATTTTAAGTACATGACAACCTGACTCTCTCAATATTTTTCTTCATTTAGGATCTCAAATTATCGTTAAAAATCTTTGAAAAATTGAACAATAACTTAATTGCTTGAATAAGCTCTACTTGTCATATGTATTTATATCAATTTGTCAACTTATATATATACCTAATTAATAACAATATACAAAAATGTTGTTTGGTGTTGTAGCCAACTGGAGCGGAAAGGTCTGAATCTGCATTTATTATATGAAAACATGGACCATAAATGGTAGGAAATGGTGCACTATAGAAAAAGTTATGGACTCTGGACCTCCACGATCATTGACTTGTTAGGTCTTTTTCCAATAGTTCTCTTCATTGCTTCTCATCCTCAGATTACTAACAACTCTTTCAACTTTATGTAATGTCTTGTCCAAAAGAGTGATGGGACCTTCAATTATTAGGTTTTTGAATGAGCAATTGGACGCTTGGCACCTACTCTAAAAACCTGGTTTTTATTGCCATTGTTTCTTCTTGACGTGTCAATTTATTTTGCACATTCTAGGTTGCCTTTGTCAGTGCTCGCTTCTATTTTTTTTATTTATTTAAAATTTTATCATTAAAATTAAAATTTAATATTTTATTAATAGATTTTATGTTTGTTGATCTAAATTTTTTATTGTTTCCCTTAATTACTTGTTTAATGTAAAAAAAAATTATAAAATTTTACGATTGTACGATTGTAATAATTGTTTCTAATAATTGTACAAAAAATAGTATAAGAAACTATTTTTGGGATTTCATTGAAAATCATGAGTTTCACTTACAATAGTAAATTATGCAAAAATTATTGGGATTTTATTGAAAATCACGAGTTTCACTTTTCTTTTAATATATCAAAAGAATATGGTTGTACACCAATGTACGACTGACACCACGTGATGAAGGCAGGGCCAACTTTATATTTATTTCCATTTTTCAATCAAAACATCACTTTGATGTTTTATTGCTAGCTGTCGACATCATCATAAAGTTTTGTTTTTTATACATTATAATTCACAAAAAGATCCTCCTCAATTTAAAAAAAAAAAAGATTGTACTAATAAATATTGTGATGAGAGACTAACAAAATTAAAGTTAATAATGGATAGAATTAAAATAAATTTTTATTCACTTCAATTTGATTTAATTTTATATTTATTAAATTTAAATTTATTTGATTTGAAAATTTTTTTATTTTTTATATTCAATTTCGATTTGATTTAATATTATATAAATTATACTCGACTTGATCCGATTCGAAATTAATAAAATATATATTTTTAAAAATATAAAATATTATTTTTAAAATATAAATATTTAAATAAATAATTATATAAATATATAAATAAAAAATTAAATAAATAATAAAAAATTTAATTTTTATATAAAATATCTAATCGGGTTTACTTGAAACTTGAACTCGATTCGACTCCAATTTTTTCTTAGCAATAACTAATTTGATCAGACTTGAAATTCGGTTTAAAAAAAAAATTGACCTTAAAAAATCGGATCAAATCGAAATTCGTAAAAAATAGATTGAGTTGTCGACCCTAAGCAAAAGTAGAGATGATCAAAATTTAGTTAAAATTGAATTAATCAATGAATTAATTGATCAAATAAAATTATTTTTAATCAATCAAATGAAATCATTTTAATTAATTAATTAATTAATTAATTAATTATCAAATTAATTTTGATCGAAATTTAAAAATAATTTAATTCAAAAACTAAATAATTAACCGAATTATAATAAAATGAATCGGTTTTATCTCTCAAGACACAAAAGTGAAACCCTTGAGTCTATCACAGTACACACTAGGACACAATCACCTCCACATTCCACCCTCACCTTTTCTTTTTCTTTTTTTTTTTCTCTCAACTCTCATTCATTCGAGCCTCAACCTCCTTCGACATATGGTCGTGATGATTTTTGATGGAATATTTCTTTGCCAAGTCCAAATCTGATAAATATATTTTCTTTGCTCCAAAAAAGAAAGAAATCAATTATTGCGACTGCTGCTTTAGATGATACTGGTGATTTAGGTAAGAAGAATTATATACCACTCAACCTTTTCTTACTTCGGCTTTTATAGTTTAATGTTGGACTTCGGAATTTTGTTAGGTTATGTTTGCAAGGTTGTATACTCTGGTTGTAGAGTTGAGAGTTGTATATTCTGTTGGGAGCACAAAAGTAATTTTGATTAAATTTGATTAATTAATTTAATTAATTGAACTAAATTCAGTAAATTAATTTTTGAAATTAATAAATTTATTTCGATTAATAAAAATAAAAATAAACTAATTCAATCTTAATTAATTCAGTTCGAAATTATTTGAAGATATAGCAAATTATAGATTGCACTTTTTTTTTCACTAAAAGTCTACGTATGTATAAAAAAAAAATTATGTCCGGTAAAGGAGAACATCTTTTTTCACAGAGAAGAGCTGTCAGCTTTTCCCCTTTCGCCCTTGTCTCTGCTTTGGCATTTTCGTTCACGACAAGAACGTACGATACCTTTCACTATTTTAATTTTCTTTTTTGCCAAACACGTGGAAATCAATAGAAATTCACATCAAAGTAAAGGTCAAGAATCCGAATTGGACAGCTTTACTCAGAAAAACGAATCAAACAATTGAACATATCTTGACCTACCAAGGTGATCGAGAGCATGGGCCTTTGTGCACCTGAAAAGATCTTCAGACGCAAGCAATATTTCACACCATTTACAATAAGCTAATTCTCTCAGCTTCGTCAATTTTTTTTGGAATGCGAGTTCATAGTTAATTTATAGACGAAATGATAAAAATAATTTAAAATAGATCCAAAAATAAATTAGAACTAATGAAGATTGATTAAATTAACAAAAATCAAACATTTTCCTTGCAATGCTTAAAATTAATTCTCACGATGTTCTTTTTTTGGACAATATATAAATTTGTTTTGAAACTTGTGTCATACTCAACTCTGAAATATAATTTCCTTTCACTTAAAATTTTATGTATTAAAAAAAAAAACCTTTTAAGTCTTTGAAATAAAGCATTGCTAAATTTGTTTTGAAAATTTAAATTAATATTGAAATAAATAAATAAATATATTTTCGATCAAGAGAAGGTGGAATCCTTACAAAAAAAATGGAGAAAATCCTAACCCGAACCTAGGATTTTCATATTTTTATAAGTTGTCACTGTGTTTTCAAAATTGAAACTGTAATAATTCAGCGCCAGCCAATTTGTCCCAATTGCTCCTAGATAGCTGGTCTCCGACGGTGACATAAATTTCTCGGTAACCCTTATGCTGCAAACTTTACACTGGCCTCTGCTGTCTGAAAGAGACTCACTCCATCGACGTGGAAACGAAAGTAGCCAGTGGTTCCAACAACCGCATTTTATCTCTTAGAACTCACGAGACAAAGATTTATCATAATTATCTTAATATATATCACATAATAAAAAAATATTTTTTGTTTTTTTATCATATTTTATGCAATTTTTACAAATTTTAAATTTATTTTTACGTTGTATTATTTTGTGGTTATCATATATGTCACAGCACTTTTTTTACGTATCAGAGCTTTTTTGTTTTCTTCCTACTCAAGTACGGGCACGTGCCTCTACGTAAAGTCGTACTCTTCTTTGCACTCCGTTGGATTCTTGGCTTTTGTTTCTTCTGCTGTATGTTTCCTTTCTCTAATAATTTGGTAAGCTCTCATCATTCAATCACCATGATCAAATTTGTTGCTTCTTCCTACTCAATAATTTTCTAAACTTGTCAAAATTAAAATTCCTTTCAGATTTAATCATTTTCAAAGACCAATGACTCAATTGAGCTACATACAATAAGGACAACTTATTATGTAACATTTTACTTATTTTTTACTGGAAAATACAGAGATCATACTCCTTTTAAAATTTTAATAAAATATGATATAATCCATTTTCAAAATAATTTATCCACGTATTTTTTTTCACATCATTTTATTACCATTTGTTCCATTATTAAAGTCACTCTAAAAAATAATTAAAAAATGTCGTAGTTGCTGCTAATTATTTCAAATGGCATCATCGTCGTCCTGTGTAGGATATTGGTTTACAATTTAGTAAGTAAGATATTATTCCCTTCGACATTAATGTACAAAATACGAACATGTAATCGGCACAAAAGAAAAAGCATTAAAGTTATCAAAAACAAATAAATTTTGTCTCTTCCATTTTTTTTTTCTTTAATGAATCTTATTTGTACTTGATTGGTTAAAATTTGATAAAAAAAATGAAATTTAAGAAAATTTCGACAAATAATTAGGTTAAAAATCTGCAGTTTACTCATATCTCGTTAAATATGTCATTTTTAATTAAATCATGTGAAATATTTATATTCAAATATTTATTAATAAATCATACTATTTGTTGAATATAAAATATTTTTTATATTAATACAAGGTTTAGAGTTATTAATGAACAACTAAGCTATTGAGTCCGGTAAGGACAATACATTCTTAATTACTAAATTCCAAAGACGAATCACTGTGTTTGTCGGCATATCTATTCACTTTTCAAGTTAATACATAGTAGGGAAGATGCAATTTAACTGTCGTTTTCGGATTGAATAGTGATTATATTCATTTTTTAAATTAATAATCGTATTGAAATTAACAATTTATGATTAGTTTCGAGTAGTATGATTTAAATAGGATTATATCGGATTTATGATTTAATTAGTCGGAGACATTATTTTATAGTAGTAATTAAGTTTGTAGGGTTTACAACGTTAGGAAAGTAAACATCTAGTGAGATATGTTATATTTATTGTAAATCTTTTACAACATGAGATTTTTTTTTAATGAATGATGGTAAAAATTTTTTATTTTTAACATAATTTATTGATCGATTATGGAGCATAATTTGTGCCCTCGTTTTACGATGTGGTAAGAACTAGTTACAGACTATATGTATGGTGACAATTTTATGATTATTTTAACAATAATTTCTCAAAAAGTTGATCGACATCGATAGTTTAATAATTTATGTAACGTTGAATCAGGAAGGCAGGGCCAAAAAAAAAAAAAAAAGAGAAAATTCGTCATAAAATATTGTGCCGTACTTAATATTTGCTCTGTTATTATGGGTAATGTGAATCACCCCCTTTCTCTTTCCTTGTGCACATTAATATTTTGACGGTTGACCCTTAGTCTAGATATGCAACTTGGTGTGCATTAAGTTCAAAAATTGGTGGAATTTTTCTAGGATTCTATAGAGGGCTTTACTAGCAGCTTGAAAACGTAAACAGGTTGGGAATACACTAGTTGTAAGAGAATGGAAGGAGACATCAACCAGAAGCTGCTAACAGAAGAAGAGAAGACTGAAGTTGGAGAAGTGAAACTGAAGGAAAAGATATGGATAGAGACAAAGAAGCTGTGGGTTGTTGCTGGTCCTGCAATTTTCACCAGGTTTTCTACCTTTGGCGTTACTGTAATCAGTCAAGCTTTTGTTGGTCACATTGGTGTTACTGAGCTTGCCGCTTATTCCCTTTGTTTCACTGTCCTTTTGAGGTTCGGCAATGGTGTTCTGGTATGTACATAATTTTCCCCTTGTTTTGATCCTCGGGGTTCAGTTACCAGGAATGATTGTTTTTTTATACTTTCTCTTGTATGGAATTTAGTTACCAGAAGTTTTTTTTCCTAAGCTTTTGAAAATTTTTTAGCAGTATAGTTACTAGAAAGGATTGGTTTTTGGCCTTTCTTGTTTGGGTTTCTTTTACATTTTCTGAAATGGAATATTGTGATGTTCTTGATCATTGCAACCTTTATTTCAAATGAGCTTTTTGGTTTTGCTTGTTTGAGAGGAAATATCATTTACCTCTTTGGTCTAAAAAGTACAAAACTGGCCCATTTTCAAGTACTCTTCCTTTATCTTTTACATTAATCGATCCTAGATGATCAGTTGTTAGTTCCATGGCTGATCAAGTTCACATCATATGGTAAGAATCGGTTTTGATTTCTACTTAATCTTAAGCATTAACATGAAAACTTTGTTATTATTGTATAGCCAGGGGATTGAGTTTCATTTTGAGAAATCCAAAGGCCAATGTTGTATTCTTGAGGAAACCTTTGATTTATCGGATATGATCTGGATTTTTTTTCTTAATGATGTGTCTTGGAGTTCTGTGAGGAGTATTATGAACAAAGAGAAGAACTCGCTTCCTTACTCTTTTTTATTTTCAATATACTTCTCATTGTTTGGCTGATAGTTTTCTAGACTTGAGATCACCAATATAGCATAAAATTGCAATGGGTTAATGTCACCAATAGAAATGTGCTATACTTGAATTTTAAAAATTTCCAATATGATACCTAAATTATAAATTTATTAACTAATGCGGTAATCAACCCTAACATGGTTAGCTTAAAATGATGATACGTGATTAACGAACAACCTTTCAAATACTTCATTAGTTAACACATTCATTTTTTAGGTATCATATTAGTAATTTTCAAAATTCAAGTTTCACACTGAATATTTCATTATTGTTCAGGGCTATTGGTGACATTACCCCAATTGCAATTCTAGTCTGAAGTTGCTTAAGTGCTTATAATTTAAAAAATGAGTACTACCTTCTAAAAGCTTTTACTTTTGTTTTTGATATTTGACACGTGATAAGATATATATTTTTTTATATCTAATTGATGACTTTCACATTGTTAGAAAATGGAAATGGGGTTAACTTCTTGATGGAAACATTGGACTGGTATTGATGTTTGCAAATTTTGAATGTGCAGCTGGGTATGGCCAGTGCATTGGAAACTCTGTGTGGTCAAGCATTTGGAGCAAAACAATATCATATGCTCGGGATTTACCTTCAAAGATCATGGCTAGTTTTGTTTATGACTGCATGCTGTCTTCTTCCTTTATATATCTTCGCTGGCCCGCTTCTGAGAGCTTTAGGCCAGGATGAAAAAATAGCACATGTGGCAGGATATATTGGTCAATGGTTTGTTTTCATTGTGTTTTCTTTCATCATATCCTTCACCTGCCAAATGTTCCTGCAAGCACAGAGCAAGAATATGATTATTGCATACTTGGCAGCATTCTCTATTGGAATCCATATCTTTCTTTCTTGGCTTTTGACGATGAAATTAAACTTCGGGCTTGCAGGAGCATTGTCATCCACGATTTTGGCCTATTGGTTACCAAATATAGGTCAGATTTTGTTTGTTACATGTGGAGGGTGTAAGGACACATGGAAGGGTTTCTCAACGTTAGCTTTCAGGGATCTCTGGCCAGTGGTAAAGCTATCTTTGTCATCTGGTGCTATGCTCTGGTAAGGCTTCTGTCCATTTATGACTCTCTCGTGAAAGAACTGGCAGAGAAAGTTTACATCAGAAGATATTGAGTTGAGAATTTTGTTGTCCTTGTCAGTGTTGAGCTGTGGTACAACACAATCTTGGTTCTTCTAACTGGAAACTTGAAAAATGCTCAGGTTGCAATTGATGCTCTTGCCATCTGGTAAGTCTTCCAACCAACCTTTTCCGATCGGCTTAAAAGGTTTCACTTTCTTTTATTGTTCCCATCCTTATATTTTCTATGGCATTCTACTTATAAATTTACATGTCCTTTTCAGCCTGAACATTAATGGATGGGAAATGATGATATCACTTGGTTTCTTGGCTGCAGCAAGGTATTATTAGCTTAAAGTTTGAACAAGACCATGGATTTTTTGTATCTTGTTTGCTGTGAGTTAAATATTGTTTCTTTTCTTCTTGGAAAATTTTCAGTGTTAGGGTGTCAAATGAGCTTGGAAGAGGAAGCTCCGCAGCTGCCAAATTTTCAATCATGTCGACAACTCTTACATCACTTTCCTTTGGAATTGTGCTGTTTGTGCTATTTTTGTGCCTTAGAGGACGTTTAGCATACATATTTACCGAAAGTGAAGAGGTGGTAAATGCAGTTGCTGATTTATCTCCACTATTGGCTTGCTCCATACTTCTAAACAGTGTTCAACCTGTGCTTTCTGGTAAATTTCCGTTTGTTGGTTATATCATCTGTCTGGCAGCTTCAATCGGTGTTTGCTCTTAACATTTGTACCTTAATGACAGTAGATTACATGTAACCAAATATATTCATGCATTAAGATCAGGCATTTCTTTAACTCTTTGGAAAAATGTGTTGCATTATATATATATATTTATATATATATATTCTTCAACAGGAGTTGCTGTTGGTGCTGGATGGCAGAGCATCGTAGCGTGGGTTAATATAGCTTCCTACTATCTAATTGGCATTCCGATTGGTGTTGTGCTCGGATACGTGTTCGACATGGAAGTCAAGGTGATTTCCCCATCTTTTGCGCCTTGCATTTTTAGAATTGACTCGGCAAATCTATCAATTAGTAATCTGCATTTCACGTTAGCATCAGCTATATTCAAACTTAAGGATTCCTAGACATGAAAATGTAAACTGCTTCTGACAGAAGACTTTCTTTTTCTTCTTCTGCTGCATTCTGTTCTTTTCAGGGTGTTTGGATTGGCATGTTGCTAGGAACACTCGTTCAGACTATTGTACTTGTTATTATCACCTGGAAAACTGACTGGGATAAACAGGCAATCTTGTTTGGAATGTTTAGATTTTTTTTGTTTACAATTTCACTTAAAATCCAACTTACAGATATTATCCAACTACAGGTGGTCTTAGCTCGAACACGTGTTAACAAGTGGTTTGTACCAGAATCCAGGGAGGAAAACAGCAACACTGAAAATGGTGCCTGAGGGGCAAGCTTCTCTTTTTCCTAGTGGATTTGGATTTTTGTTGCTATCATTTCTTGAAGCCAATGGCTTATTCACTTGTAAGAAATTTGATCAACTATTTTTGGAATTCCTTTGGTGTCAACTATGCATACCAAATGAAATAGCTGTAGTTTTCCCCTGCATATTAACATCTTGGGCTCTTGGTATTAATTACATGTTACTGCTTTATGTATTCTGCAATGTCCATAGGGTAGATTGAAAGTGCCAATCAGTTGTGGAAATGCAAAAAAACTTTTAGCTTCTTTTGCAATCATATTTTATGAGTCCAAAGCTTCCAAATATTAGTTGGTTATCTTTGAGAAAGGTGATCAGTTATGCTGAAGCAAGAGCAACAGAGAAACTGGAAATGTGTTTAGTGAGAGTTAGTGATTTCTTGTGAAACACAATATGTTATCAAGATAACCCAAAAAAGCATTTGTATTTTTACCAAATGAAGAATGCTTGAAACTGCAAATTGACTCATTTATTGATTAAGATGCTTAAGATCAATTTTTGAAGGAAAATCAGGGATGAGAGAATGAGAAAGAGAAAGAAAAGGATTATTGCTTTTTAAGGATTCTGGAAACCATGAAGACAAAGACCAATAAAATGATTAATTTTAATGTTTATCATTAATAAAATAGTTATTATTAATGGAGTAGAAATCTAAAATGCTTTAAATTAAATGGGCAAGTTTCACAGATATACATGTTTAACATTTTCATGGATATTGTAAAAAATTAAAAAATAAGAAAATTTGAAGGAAAATTTCTCACGATATTTCAAAATTTTCTTCAACACTTTTTTCAGTGATAAAATTAATAAATTTATTGATATAAATATATATATATATATTATAAATGAATATTTTTAAAAAAATTTAAATATGTGACTAATATGTATCTTTCATCCATAAATACATTAAAAATTGGAAAAAATTTGGATGATGTTTCTTAAATGAAATTTGTAAAGTTTTTTTTTATTAAAATTGAGTAAATAAAAATAAAAAATAAAAATGAATAAATTAAAAGATTTTATTACATTTAACAAGTATGTAAATTTTAAAAAAATTAATAAATTTTTGTATATTTTTTAGTTAAATATTTTTAGTAAACTATTGAATAAACACTAACAAAATTTTAATTGTAAACTGCATATTTAATAATTTTTTATATATTATTAATTTTATTAAATTCTATCAAGATTTAAATTTTTTATTAAAATTTTTATTAAATCATTTACTAAAGGGGAGGGCTCTAACCGAGCCGGTTGGACTTCGTGAGAAGAGGGCTACTAATGATCTGCCAAGAAAGTTACCAACTTTTGTTTTGTTCTTATTCGAATTATTTATTGCCATGGAGTTGGGTCAACTTATATTGAAGTAACAAGTCTGTAAAAACTTAATTGAATAAGGTTTTTCTGAAAAATGTACCATGTTCTTGTTCAATGAACAAATCTCTGTTTGTTTGCCAAGAAAGTTGAACAAACAAACAGATGAAACAAAGAATATTAATGACTGGAACTACAACAATTGTAGGACGTTTGTCTTATTCTCACGCTTCCTTCTATGGAATCATGGTGGAGTTGAAAAAGATTAAAATAAAAATTGCAAGATGAAATTGACGAATTAGAGATATCAGTTGGACTCACGTTGGTAGCCAATCTTGCCGGATTTGGTCCCTTTGATTGAAATTCGAAAGTACTATTTTTTTTTGGATAAATAAGTAATGTCTATGACATACACAAAAGAATTTGGACTTAAAAAATTAATTATAAAATCATGTTACAATGGAAAGCAGAATTATAAACGGGAAGTAGGTTTCTTTCTCAACCAAAGTTACCAAACAAAGAGATTGAAGAAAACAATAATTATTTTGAATGATAAAAATCAATTAAAAACAATCACAAAAGGGTTAAGAAGAGCTTTCAATTGAAACACACACAAAAAAAATTAGGATATAAATTAGAAATTGATTCAATCGGTTAAAATCGTTTTATTCGATGAAAAAATCTTAGATATTGGTGATCATTTATTTGAATCATTTTAAATGCATAATTTATAATAATTTATCTTAAGTTATTAGATACGATATATTTTATTTTAATTTTGAGATTGAATAATTTATTTATTTTTAAATTTTATTTTTTTTTTTAAAAATTATAACTTTCACGTGAATTTCAAGATTGTTTAATGTTATAAGATAAATTTAATTTGACTTGAACATAAAATTTTTGTAGGTCGACTTTTTTTTTTTTTTTTTTAAACTGTCGTGAATAGGATTCATGGTTTTGTTTATTAGAATAAATTTTATATGAATTATTGACTAGAATATTAAAAGAATTATAGCAGTTCACATCAAAACTTGCGCTACCTGCATTCTTATTTCCTAGGCAATTAATACAAGACATGTGCACGTTTCAATATAACCCACTAGAGAATAAAAAATATTAAAATATTCCAAAGAAATCGGCTACTAATGAAGTAGCCAAAAATTTTACCAACTTTTGTTTTGTTGTTATTTGGATTTTTTTTTAATTACCATAGAATTGGTATACAATTTATATAATATAAAATTAAAATATTTTCACATATTTTTTTAATCTTTAATTTTAATATATAAAAAAGATGAGATTAATTTTTTTTATTTTTTACTTATTTTTTATCCATTGAATTTATTAAAATTAATTATTAAAAAAATATTTCCTTTGTCCAATTTTTTTGTTCATATTTTCTTTTAGGATGTCTTAAAATTATGTTCTATATTTTTCTAATATCTAAAACTCTTTTTTATATTTTAAAATTAATTTTATGACTTTTTACATTAAAAATTATAAAACTTTAATTTCATAAAAAAATTTAAATTTCAACGTTAAATACATTAAATTAAAATTTTTTTCTTAAATCCTGTGAAAATCAATATATAACAATAATCTGAGACGCAACAAGTATATAAATTTTTAAAATTTTACTCAAAACAAATTGATCTCTATATATATAAAAAAGAAAAATAAAATTCACTTACACTAATATAGAGTTTACACTTTTTATATTTATAAATCTACTTCAAGAATAATGAGATATGACTAATTCTTTCACTGAATTGTGTCCATGTTCACGTTCAATCACTTTTTCTTTTGGTACTTATAAATACATTAAAAAATAAAACTTAAATTAGATTATATTATAAAAATTAAATTCAAATTTTATTTAAATTAATTTAAATAATTATTATTAAAAATAACAGTCAACTCATTAAAATTTAAATTACAACAGTTTTTTTTTTATCTTTAAATTACAATGTCTTTTATACCAAAACCATTCAAATGCAAAAAAAAAAAAGAAAAAGTGTGACATTCGGCTGATACCTATATGGCAGCAGTCAGCAAATGACGTGAGGTGCGGCACAGTCTCTCGTCAAAGTCAACTTTGCAAGGAATTTGATATAAGTATTGTGTATTTATTTATTAATAGTAGTAAGTTTCAAGGCGGGAAATTTAAAAAAAAAAAAACCCGCCAACCTTTTTATATATATTTTTTCTCATATCATATATCTATATAATATCCCAAGCCACTTTGATAAACTTCATGAATCAACCATCTGTTGTTCTTCCAACTGCTTCCCTTCCATACCTCTCCATTTGAAATTCCATCTGGTTGCAGCAAATTCTAGCCTTGGAACGTACTTCAATCTAGTCTTGGAAGCAAAAGGCTATTGGTTTTCCTGTAAGTTTTAAGTCTCTCTATCATCACTGTGTTACCCAAAATACTATCATTTTTCATGTTATTTAAAACATGGCCTTTTTCATTCAACATGAAACTTTGAAATCAAATTTGGTCAGCAAATTGATACGTCACTTTGACTTAGCCCAAATTTTCCTGGAAGAGGAGGTTTGATAAAAAAAAAAAAAAATGAAAATTGATAAGCTAATACTATACTCCTCATCTTCCCTGTAATCTTCTTTTTCATCTTATTAGCATCATTAGAACTGCTGTGCTGGGATGTGAATGGGTTAGTTTAATTAATGAGAGTTGGTAAAAGTTACTTGACATAAATCCTGTCTTTACAAACTATATTGGTGATTTTTAAATAAAACGGACTTTAACTTTCAGGAGACTGGTATCAGAAATCAGGTTTTATTTTGTTGTTTTTGTCTGTTATCCCTTTCAAGTTTGTCATGTGATAAGCTTTAGTTTCTACCTATACGTGATTGAGTCTGCTAAAAGGTTGTTACCAGTCATTGTTAAAGTAGATGCTTCACGGGCAGTTGGTTCTTTGGACGTTTATAAAGCAGTAGTGGCATAGCTTTTGTGGTTGTCCGAATGATGCCTAAGAACCAAATATATTTATTTGACTTTGAATTACGTATTTAGCTTAATCAGGAATAGAGTCTGAGTTGAGGAAAAAGAAAACAGCTTATAAATTAGCATCTAGGAGAAATGAGAATAATCAGGAATTGATTCCGTTGCTAACTAGTCAGTGTTGATTTTTTGTCTACAGATCATACAAATGCCACCGAGGCGGGATCCATTACGCGCCATCGACGTTCCAAAATTTGGGAAAAATAAAGATCTAGCAAACGATGACTTGGATGATAATGATAATGATGATTTGGAGCTTGGGTCCGAGGGAGGGTTTATCTACGAGGTCCCCAAGAACATTCGTCAAGGAAATGAAAAAGCCTATACTCCTCAATTAATTTCAATAGGCCCTCTTCATTACAGAAAAACAATTTTGGGTAAAATGGCAAAGTATAAATTGAGCTATCAAAAGAAATTTTGTGAAAGGACTTCGACTAAGACATTGGAAGATTTTTGGAGCTTCGTTGAACGCAAGGAAAAAGCAATTCTCAACTGTTATGAAGCATCATCCATCATTGACGATGACATTGTAGTGATGATATTTTATGACGCACTCTTTATCGTCGAGCTCTTATTGAGGAACTATGAGAAGGAAACTGCAAAAGAGTTGGGAATTAAAGACTTCTTATTAAAAGGAACGTGGTCGGCTGGTCTTCGGAGGGACTTGATTCTACTCGAAAATCAGATCCCTTTCTTTGTGCTTGAAGAACTGTATGAGTTATATCGTAAATCACTTCGTGAAGATAAATTACATTCAGCCTGCTCTACCCCTGCCTCTGATCTTTCCTTTCTTCATCTTGCTTGCCTCTACTTTGATATCCCATGGGATAAAAGGTTCAATAATTTAAAAATCCTACACTTCACCGGTTTGCTAAGATGCCATCTGGTCAAAAATTGCCATCCATCCATGGCCCAAGAAAGTAAAACTGAAACAGTGTATAGTGCGACAATGTTGCAAGACGCTGGTGTTGAGCTTAAAGCTGCAGATGATGAAAATGCAAGCTGGCTTGATATAAAATTTCAAGGAAAGGAGCTTAATATCCCCAAATTGAATGTGCACTCCAACACTGAAGCTTACATTCGCAACGTCATGGCCTTGGAGATGTGCCACTATCCAGGTGAAGCCTATGTTTGTGCTTACATAGAACTAATGAATTATCTCATTAAAACTGACAAAGATGTAGATTTGTTAATAAACAAAGGGATTTTAAGCAAAGAAGGCAAAAGTGAGGGAATTCTCGTTAGCAGAATAAATCCCAGCAAAATGATGGTTGGTATGATTAAGAAACTCATGCAGCGAGTTGGCGAGCCTCCTGGTTTGTACAGTGAAACAGGGAATCAACTAAACCAGCATTACAAAAATGCTCAGAAGCACGAAATAGCAATATTCTTCAAGGCGAATCTAGCAATTCTGAAGCGTGTGTATTTCACCAATCTTTGGCGAGGAACTGGAACTGTCGTTGCTTTTATGATGGTTGTGCTTACTTTCATTCAAACCGTGTTGGCATTTCTTAAATGATCACTTCAACCCCCCCCCCCTCTCTCTCTTTCTCTCAAGAAGATTTTAATATTGTGATGGTGTGTCTTCAATAAATGATGTATGTATGTATATTTGGAATTAGATTGAAGTTTGTCAGTGTTTTGTTTTTAATTTGGTTCTTGGATTGCTTACCAAGGGCCAAGTTGTTAGTGTATGTTTTAAGTTGAAATAACGAACCTGCCAGTGTTATGTTTTTAATATGGTGTTTTGATTATATATATGCAAGTTTTATTCATTTGCATTTTGTCTCTCTATTAAAAGTAAGAAAACTTAAAGTAATTCATTTGTTTCAAATTGAATATCAATTTTTAAATGATGTAACGTTTTAAAAGTTAGGTGTTTTATTCTTTAATCTTTACAACTATTGACCTTCAAGTTATAAAAACTAGAGAACTCTTGCATTGCCCAACTCCACCTCATTTTATTTGTCTATGTTTGATTTTTTGGTTAAATTAAATAAATTAAAATTAGATCATTAATTTTTAAAATATTATATTAAATTAAAATTTTAAAAATATATATTCAAAATTTACAAATCTTATTTTAAATTTATTTTAATTTTTTAAATTTATTAAAAGTAATGCTCAGAGTTAAGTTCTTTCGACTTAAAAACTTAACGAGTAAGAAACATAATAGCAGGGAGTAATATTTTTGCATAACATTAAAGCAGTGTTTTTCACTTTGGAAAAGTGAATATTATTTTGAAACATTCTAAAATAGTAAATGGGTATTCAATTTGAAGTGGAGGGAGTAAAAATAATTATTAATCACTATCTTATGAGCTATTAAAATGTTCTTGTAACATTTACTCATGCTTCATGTGAGTTTATTTATTGCAATTAATTTTGAAAATAAATACCAAAAAATAATAATTTTGAAATAAAAAAAAAGTTATTTAATTTTATTTATGATTTAGCATTCTTACATAAATTATTGTCTAAAAAATTAATTAAGTTAACTACTTTCATATCTAATAGTCATTTAAAAAAGAAAAAAAAAAGTATATGATAAATTTGTGGTTAGTTAAGGACTTAAAAGATTTTTCATCATAAATAAATAAACAAAGAGTAGATATAAACTTATTTGAGAAAATAAAGGTTTGAAATTGTACAAAAGATCACATTTTGTTAGAAATTTGACTCAAATTTTAATTAAGAATAAAGCTAGATTTTAATAAATTAAATTCTAGTGGTGGACAATTATTTGGTGGTTTAATTAGTTTATTTAACGATAAATATGCTTAATGGATAGCAGAATTATTTGTTAAATGTATTTTTTAATAATCATTATTACCTTTATTTTTCTTTCATTTTCTTATTTTCTCTAGTTTTTTCAATCAATATTTTCCTCCTTCCTCTATTTTCCTTTCCAATGAAAGAATTGAAGTTCAATTTTATCTGTTTGCATGCTTCACCCACCGGCCCAATGTTGATAGAGGTTTCGTTGTTGATGGATAAAATTTAAATTTCAAATGCATATTTCTTCATGTAGTTCTTATTGGTCTAGTCTATAAAATTATTGATCATTCATCATTTCTAGAAATTAAAGCATAGTATTTCTCAAAGGAAACATTGAGGTGGAAATATTTAATGAACCAACTACTGGCCAACTACCCTATTAGCTTCTTTTCCCTGCTCCCCAGTAAAATGTTCAGAAATAATACTGTATGAAAAAAACCAATTCAACAATTTCAAATTGGAGATAGACCAGTTTGAGATTGTGGGCTCATTTTTTTTCTCTGATCAAAAGCATTTCCCAAGTCTCTTGTAAAAAACCAACCAATGGCTGATTCAAGTGATAAAGAAATTTTTTTTTTATGTTATTTGAGTTTAAATTTACTTAGAGATTGTGAAAAATTAATTTTTTTATTAATTTGTTAAACTCAACGTAAATAAATATATTTGAATCGACTTGGAAAAAAATATGTATTAGACAAAGCATATGAATCCCTTATTGCTGGTACAGACCTTTAGAAACAAAAAAGTTCAAACTAGGCAGGGAATGAGGGAAATCCATTTATTTCCTTTTTTAAAGACCAACCAAGTCCAGTATTAGTTGCCTTGACTTTAATTTCTCGATTCTATCTCATTTTGCAGAGCTAGTTAGCCATGGAAAACAATTTGGAGCAGAGATTTCTTGCAGAAGAAGAAGAAGAAGAAGAAGAAGAAGAAGAAGACAAGACTGATCTAAAAAGAAGAATTTAGATTGAAACAAAGACAATATGGTTGCTTTCCCTTCCATGATGTCTAGGGTCACTTCCTTTGGAATGATTGTTGTGAAACAGTCGTTTCTTGGTCACATTGGTGAAGTTGAACTTGCCACTTATGTTCTCATTCAAAGCATTTTTGTACGGTTTATCAATGGCATACTTGTAAGCAACCTGACCTTTTAGGCTTTAGCTATGTCGTAAATGTATCTGATCGATACATTCATATTTCCATACGATTTTTTTTTATTTTTTTTATTTTTGAGGTTATCAAGATTTAAAATTTTATTATTGAAATTAGAATCCAACCTTCTACTGACAGAACATGTGACTGTTGATAAAATTTTAATTTTTTATTACTATTTCAATAAGTACTTGAAGTTGAATGTTGTTTTTCTTCTTTCATGTAACGTGGCAGATTGGAATGTCTAGTGCAACTGAAACGTTATGTGGGCAAGCATTTGGAACAGGGCAGTACCACATGATGGGAATATACCTGCAACGATCATGGATTGTTGATGGCCTTACCGCCACAATATTGCTCCCCCTATTCTTTTTCGCTACACGAATTTTCAAACTACTTGGGCATGAAGAGGAGATAGCAGAAGCAGCCGGAAAAATTTCTCTATGGTTTATTCCCATGATTTTTTACATGGTCCTTGGACTCACCATTCAAATGCACCTTCAAGCTCCGCTCAAAAACTTGGTTGTTGGGTGCTAAAGTGCCACTTCATTTGTTCTTCATATGTTGTCATGGATCCTGGTTTACAAACTGAACTGGGGTGTTGCTGGGGCAATGGGTTCCTTGAATATACGTACTTGGGCTATGGTTCTAGGCGAGTTTGTGTTCATCCTTGGAGGCTGGTGCCCCAATTCATGGAAGCATTCTATGATCTATTGCCTATAATAAAGCTCTCCATGGTCTCTGGTCTTAATATTTGGAAAACAAAGTTACATTCAGTACTCTTATCTAATTAATTGATATCTTTTAAATTGATTGTTTCTAATTAACAGCTTAGAGTTGTGGCACAATGCCATTCTTGTCTTGCTGGCTGGATATATGAAAAATGCCTATTGCTGCTTTCTCTAATCCTTGTTGAAGCCTGCGATGTATCCTGATTCTGAAATGCGATAGTTTTCTGTTACCTAAACTTTTCAGTACTAAAAAAAGTTAATTTTCTAACAGAAAGTAAATAATTTACTTTTCTTTTGCTTTAATTTTGGGCATCAATTTACTAAGAATTAAATTATCTACTAATTAAAAACTAATTTATTTTCTGCAACCTCAATGTCAATGCATGGGGATTCATGATCTGCCAAGGCTTATTTAGCGCATCAATGTAATTTTTTTCTCTGTATAATTCACTATATCTTTTTCTCCTTCAATCCCTTGAATTTTTCTTTTTTTTTTTTTACAGAGTCCGCGTTGCGAAAGAATTAGGGAGAGGAAATGCTAAGGCAGTGAAATTTTCAATAAAAACACTTCAATCAGCATTGGAATGGTGTTCTTCATTTTGTGTTTAGTGTTTGGGCATCAAATTTCCTACTTGTTTACCAGTAATGAACAAGTTGCAGAAGTTATCTCTAGTCTCAACTCGTCTTGCCATGTCAATCTTGTTCAATAGCATTAAACCAGTGCTAACAGGTAAGACTTGTCTAATTCTATTTTATTTTTATTTACATTTCTTCTTTGGGTTTTGTCATAAAAATGCAACGAGATGTTATTTATGTAGTAGGATTACCAACTTTCTTTTTTTGTTTAATCATAATTAGATCATTTGAGAAGAAGATTAAATTTAAGTATTGGCCGTATTAGTAAAAAATTATGTTAATTTCATGTCTTCGTCTTTATAAAATTTTCAGTTTCAATTTCAAACATTTTTACACATTGCGGTCAATCCATCCAATATGAATGTTGTGGTTATTGGTCATTGATGCCCGATTGAATGCCTGCTCATTTTCACTTTCTTTGGACCTTGCACAAGACATTCAGCCAATGTTTGAAAAAGCAGAAATCCAAGACATTTTCAATCAAAATTTGGTCCACACTTGTCCAAGGGGAAGAGCCTTTGTAACCAAGCGATAGAATTAGGTAGGGTGGGTTGGAGTGGTTACTGGCCCAATCATTACCCTCTAATACAAATGTTATGTATTTTAATTTACTTCCTACTTTACAGAGGGTTTTTTTATTACTATTGGAAGCTGAGTAATAAATTTGATCAATCGTCCTTAAGTAAATTAGTGAATTTAAATGAATTTTGGATTTAAATCATTTGATGTTTGTAATTATTTTTAAAAATTACCATGAACAAATCAAAAATTTAAATCTCAACATTTATAATTTTTTTATTTCAAAATATGATATTTCGAATATTATTTCATTTATTTAGTATTCCTTAGTGCGACACCATTATAAAACATGATAAAAAAATATTTTAATTAAGGTATTGTTTGTTCTTAAATTTTGTGAGAATAATATATTAACTGAAAATTATTATTTCTTAAAGTAGAGTTTAATTAACCTTAATAAGCTTTTATAAACATCCGTCCAGATCCATATTTCATATATGTTTTAAAATATTTTGGTTGTTCGGTCCAATTATTACTGTAAATACCATGGACAAGTAAAACATGGATCTCCCAGGACAGCAGCAAAATGACATAACATGGTGATGATGGTAGTGTGGTCGCTAACTGCTGAGCCTCGAAGTGCTAAATAAATGCGTTCGGCGAGCATTATTCTCGTTGTTACTTGCCTGTCGTTTGAGCTTTT